AAGTTGATGAAACCATTATGTGTTTTCCAAATATTAACGGAAAGTGAAATATTAAGGTACTGATTAGCTCTGGATATCTTAGAGTTTATGTCACTACTGGCATTTTAGCTAGCGTCTACTACATATACAATACAGGTCGATGAAAATCGTGATGCGAAATTGACAAAAAAATGTGTATTTTAAAATTCCTTAAAATTTATTTTTCTTTTTACCTTAATGCATCATATTGCATGTCATTCGACTCGGCTGATGAAGAAGAACACAACGAGTCCATTTTTGAAGCTCTAGCTTCATTGTCTGTCGCGTTATCTGCAAAAACGTAGTTTGACCCTAGTTGACCTTAAGTGACATGACTGGCTTTGTCTATGATAACATGTTTATTTTCGAAATTTATCTTTGATCTAGGTGTACACCAAACCTGCTCAGTACCTATTATCTCATGGAAAACAGTGGTTTAGTGGCATTGCTCTCGGTTGGGGGTAAGCTTGGCCACTCGCCCGGGGTTACCCCAATGTGCTAATTTTTATTTTAGAACAGCGATATTCGAAAGAATGTCATACTTAAGCCAGCCTGCCTCGTCACCCCTCACTACAAACACTTAAACTGTCCTTACATAACATTCGTATAAATATTAGTACTGTATGGTATAACATTAACAGTGCAAGATATCTCACTTTTTAGCTAAAAACCATTAAAATATCATTTTTGCGCTATAACTTTAACAATATGCAATTATTGTCAGCCTTAACTTTTTTGCTGTCGTTACCTTAGCTGCCACGCTGAAAGGACAAACAGTTGAGCATTTTATTGTGAATAATTTAGCCGGAAACGGGGTGGCCGGGCTTCCCCCGCGCCCGGGCTTCCCCCGGCTTCCCCTATTTAGGTCATTTGAACAAGTGGTCATATGTTTTTTATAGTAATGAACGGCACAAAGTTGACCTTATTCAGTAAACATAACTTTATTGCAAAGAAAATGTATCCAAGCGTTATTTTTTAACCTATGTCAAAGTTACAAAATTATATTCGTTTATTGTATCCGTTTAGAGTAATTTCGTGTCAAAGATATGATATGGTTTGAACGTTTGAGCCTGCATTTTGGATGCTGTTTTGTTTTGGATTAAATTCACATTCACGTGGTTAATAAGCTTGGCATCCGTTCAAATGTTGCACATGCATGATGCAGATGTGGATTGGGATCAAGCGGCAGCCACTGTAGTATTCCTTCCAGCTTCTGTCCATCGTCCGATCGATTTGAGCTCCGGGGACTGAGGAGTTGGGTGGAGGGGGAGGTATCACATGCGCCGGTGATCAGGGGGTTGCGTCGTCGCGTGACCCGGTGTAATACCAGCCGACCTGACCAGGCCGCCCTCCCGCCGCTATCGACTCCATCTCTCGGAACCAGCTGCCGCCGCCGGACCGGCGCGCAGGTCGGCCGAGGTCGCCAAAGGTCGCCGCTGTTGTGCTGCCGGCGCCCATCTAAACCTCCTGCGCAGTGCCGACAGGGCGCTGATGTAGAGGAGCGTCTGATCAGTCCGGCGGCACGGAGCGAGCACAGATCAGGGACTGAATTACACGCTGCTCGCTGCTGAGCCGGGCCGATCGTAAACTGCATGCCGCTCGATGGAAAACCAAATTACTGATGTCAGCCAAATTCGGGAAGGATGATAAATCATGCCGGGAAACTTTGGCGGCATGAATAGCGGATGCATGCGGATATGGTTCTCCGTGCTGAAGTCGAAGCATAATAGGGGAGGGTGGGGCAAAGCGGCCACCCTAACGCTTCTCACGATGTCAACGCTTGATTTTTAAACTTAGAAAGATTCTTTATATACCAATGTGATCCCTATTAAGTTGCCTTTTATTTCAACTGCGTTTTATTTCCAAAGGCGTTCACATATGAAAGATATTGACAAAACTTTAAACCTATGCATATTGGCCACTTTGCCCCATACCCTGGGGCAAAGCGGCCACCGGCGTCTTCTCAAGTCCCGATATGAGAAACAAAATAGTTGCCTCGTGTACGACTAGGGTATTTGATGGTGACAAGGTTAAGCGAGGATGAATTTTTACTTTATCATCTTCCACCTGTAGGTAAACAAAGAAAGGATTTTCATGAAAATAAACATTTAATTGCATTATTTGGTAACTCATGCAACTGAAAAGTGGCCAAGACGAATGCATGACGACACATTTGAATATAAATAATGTTTTTTATCCAAATGGAAGCAACTTATGGCCAATTGGGGGGTGGCCACTTTGCCCCGGCCACTTTGCCCCGCGCATACCGTCCGAGACAAAAATATTCCAGCTTAGCTATTAGTCGGGTAACAAACATTAAAATTGGTAGAATACATGTACGATAACCATGCAACGCATGGACAAGAACGCTTATAAAAATTCCAAACGGTTATGGAATAACATAACATTTAAAAATTGTAAACATAGTTGGTAACCTGGCAAGAAATGCTTTTCCGTGTTTCACAGAACAATGGTGATGGGCCTGAAACCCCGGTCTGGCTCATTCGAACAACCGTGAAGAGAAGTATAATTGGAAACCATAAATTGGAACTGACGCCAGCTATGAAGGGCTAAAACGATGGGTGGCCGCTTTGCCCCGGGTGGCCGCTTTGCCCCACTCTCCCCTACATATGTAGCCTCTAGTATGAAAGTTGAAGGTTCATGCATGAGTCAACTTTATTACCAAGCTGTTAACTAGTTTGGTGCATATCTGTAACACCTGACGTGGGCAGATTTATACACCTAGTTATAAGCGCTTACATTGGTGTCATACCGCTTCTTCATGAAACATGAACTACGTTATGTTGGAAAGGCACTAGATAATAGGTAATGCATTGTCATTCTAAGAGGTTTCTACTATGTCAAAAATATATGCCTTTCATTAAAAAAGTGGTTATACATATGGGAATAACCATGCTGCATACCTTATATGTATATATGCAAATTAACTCTCAAATGACGAGACACAAAAGTGACATAGAACCAACATAGAACATGCTCAAAAGTAAAACTTTATGTAGACATGCTTTATCTTAACCCGTGCCCCACTGGGGAGGGGGCTATTCACAGCCCCCTCCCGTTTTTCTGCAATAACTTCCAAACCACTTGACGTATCGACGCCAACCTTTCAGTACCTTCGGCTGCATCAATTTGACACCTTATGTCAAAATTTGAACTTCGTAGCTACCATAGGTCGGCCGGAAACGACGTCAGAGTGACGTAATGCTCGGCCGATTTCGACGTAAAACATTGAACCACGGCAACCGCTCCCAAGAGCTCAGTTTTTAAGCTAAATCCAATTTATTTGCATGAAAGGACTCATAATTGACTGCGCTATCAAACTTCTATCACGGATTTTCAAATTTTTGAAAATTTAGAAAATTGTATATAATAATATTCAAAATTTATATTTTTTCATTTTTTTTTCAAAAAGTTTTTGACTTTTCGAAAAAAAACGGAATATGTGTGACAGAACGCATGCTTATGACTAACTCTAGCAAGTTTTAGCTAAATATCTTCAAAAATGGGAAAGTTATATGCATTATTGCAAAAAATCACAATTATTAATTTTTCAAATCAATTTTTCAGTACGTATTTGACATCGTACATCAATATAAATAGCACCATCGTGTTCCTGAGCTCAAACTGCATCCAATAGACACCTTTTTTGTTGAAAAATTTTAACTTCAAAATTTGACCTTTTTGACTTGAAAGTGACCTGACCTAAGCTAAATTCGACTCAAAATGACCTCGAATGACACAGACGACATCAAATTCGAAATCTATGGCCTAAATGGACTATAGAACATGTGTCACATGACCGACGCATGATATAATATTTCCGTGACCTGTGATGACCTGACCCTGGCCTGAAAATCAAAGTTCAAGTTTGGTACCCTCAAGGTATCTAGAGCATCTGTTAACGAGTGTGTAAACCAAAAATGAGCCTGATCTGACTTGTAAGACGGCGGCCAGAGCCCAAAATGTGAACAAGCCAAAATGCTAATAATTTTTATTTTGACCTGACCTGTGACGTCATCGGTGACCTCGAGGTCAATGAAATTAGATATTTTCGACAGTTTTTCCTGGGCTATCAGACGCCGTTTGAATTTTGACGATCGGTCCAATAGTTTCGGAGTTAGGAGAGGGGGGGGGCTATGGAGAGCCCCCCCCCCCCCCAGTAGGGCGTGTTATACGCAGACCCCAGTGGGGCGCGGGTTAAGCTTTTACCTCTACGTAGACGAAGAATCCGTCAGATCCAGTGGTCTGCTGTCTTTAAATGCTATGGTCAGTTACAGGGATTATTTGCGTTTGATTACGTAAACTCATAACATAACTGAGTATGAAAATTATGGAATGCAGCTACTGCAGATTGTTAACACAATGACGCCTTTGCTGCAGAACATCACTCTATGGACAATGATTTTGAGAAAGAAGAGGGTGAATTCCCATTTTCCGAGAGTTTGGGCCTAAATCGCATTGGAAATCAGCCGTTGACAAGTGATTGCCGAAATCTAGTATGCATCAGTTCTCGTTGTGGGAAATTGAATTCCGTCGATTTACAGGCCCCACTACAGGCCCGTTTACAGCAGCATGACATAAACGCTGTTTGCCTCCATTAAAGCAAGTTTCATTAGTCAAGCTGAAGTGGAGTGGGACGGCAGATGCAGCTCGTGAGCTAGAGTTCCCCGCCCGTGTGTTAGCGTACCCTTCTGACAGCTGAATGGTGCCTGTCATACTGTGCCCCCGTGGCCATGTGGCAGTTGATTAGTCTCCCTCCTGACTGCAGAGCCGCTATCAGTGCCTCGTCACGCGGCAACGGATATAGTCTCCCTGCAGACTACAGAGCCGCTAGCCGTGCCTCCCCCGTTTATAGCGCTAGTCCCCCTGACTGCAGCCTGGCGTCTCCCCAGCCGACCGCTCTGTGTGCTCCCGCCCCGTAGCGTCCCGTAGCTGACCGGGCGGCCGCCTCTGCTCCCCAGGGTCGCAGCTACACCTACACGGTGCCGACCAGGTCCTACAGCTACACGGTGCCCGACAGGTCCTACACGCTGCCCACGCGCACCAGCTACTACAGCTATGGCAACAGCATGGTGCCCCTGGTAAGACCCGCCGCCCGACCCGTCCCCTCACCCCGCCCCACGCGGCGGCAGTAAATAATGTCACTCTGCGGTCCGCTCACGTCACCTGGGGTAGTGACGTCACAGGAGGCCGATGACGCTCGGGCTTATCTCTCTCTCTCTCTCTCTCTCTCTCTCTCTCTCTCTCTCTCTCTCTCTCTCTCTCTCTCTCTCTCTCTCTCTCTCTCTCTCTCTCTCTCTCTCTCTCTCTCTCTCCGTCCCATGGCCGGCGGCCAGTTTCCGCCGTGGCTGCCAGGCCGGGGGAGGGACACTCTCCCCGGCTGGAGAAAGGTCCTAGCTGACGGGAACAGGATGACCGTGAATCCGTCCAGATCAGGGCGAACTGCGGATAGATACTCGACGGATTGGACTGAATCTGTCATGAAGTACATTAATAACTCTTTCGCTTCAGAATAATCTTGGAATATTGTCTACATTTTGCTTCTACTTGTGAGGCTTGATGATAGCTTCATGGATCACAGAACGGAATCTTTTAACCCTCGCCGGCACAGGCCATTTTGAGTCCTTCGACGGCACAAGGTTGGTACGAACCCCCCCCCCCCCTCGCGTTTGGCCCCTGGTGGAGCTAGAGCTTTGCGGAAAAAAAAACGAGCGTGCTGCCCGTCACGAGAGGAAGCCAATGATACCCAATTTTAAGGTCCTAGGTCATCGGTTGATCTTCCAGGTCAGGTAAATGACCCTCAATGACCCTAAAATCGGGAATATCGAGACCTGTTAGAAAGTCGTAAAGCGTGGCTGCTAAGGGGTTTTCCGGGGTGCTGATCACGAATATCGTGTTAGTTTTGATCACAGATGAAGTCGTTCAGCGTTTAGACCGGATCGGGTCAGGTCAGGTCAGGTCAGGTCAACCGGTAGGGGTCGTGACGGGTATTCGTAGTACTTGTCATCCGCCTCTGACAGCTTCGTAACATGTTACGAAGGCATCAAAACTACTTCGTAAATGTTCAAATGGTTGCTAAATTCGAATTCAGCTCCAAAAACTAGCCTAGAAACATGTAAAACTCGAAAAAGTGAACCGAGGTCACCAAAGCACAGTGGCCCTTTTTCAGAATTAGCACGCATTAATTCCCACATTACCTGCAAGTGGTGCAAGACATCACCACGGGATCAAGGACGTATTCCCTGCCAATGCAAAGAGAAGAAAAGAAACGAACTGCCCAAGGAGATTCGGCCCAACAGCGACAGGCCGCTCGGCCCAAGATTTGGCGCACGTTCGCACGGCTCGCCCGCCGGCCCAGGCCGCTCCGAACGCAAGTGTGGCGAGCCCGCCAGTCTACCGCGCTGCACTGACCGCCAAGACGCCCCAGGGCGTTACGTGACCGCATCTACAACTGTTGCCAGCCACCGTTATTAAGTCGGCCCCGGCCGGGCAGCAACTAAGGTTAGCGCGACGCGAACAATACAAACACATAGGCGCTTTTGACGTTAGATCTTAAGCCGACCACGGGACTTGTGCGGCTTGGACATCAAACGCGACAAGAAATCGGACAGTTTTTCTTGAGCACAGCGTTACGCCTACATGACATTTCAATAAGCACATCTTATGGCAAAAGTCAAGCCACATTTAGGTGCCCACCAGGTGACACCAGCTTCGAGCCAGGTCAATGAGCTTAGTCGTATCGAACAGGAGCCTCAGCCGCTCGCGGACTGAACTGGCTCACGTTATCCACCGTAGAAGCAAAATGGCGCAAAATGGCGCGATGCCCTTTGGTGGTCATGGTCAGAAGAGATCGGCGATTCGAACGATGTATAATACGATATGTTCCAGAGTGTGCTACTTAACATAAAGCTTCATATGTATGCCGCCATCTCCAGTTAATAATTGTCCTGTTATTGTGTCCACAATATTCGGCAAAAGTGGTCTATTTAAGTTTATACAATGAAAATTGTGGTTTCTAGGGCTTCTACGTAAACTCAGCTTCACAGCCATGCCACTAATTTTTAATATTTTCTCACCGAAAGCCTTACAAATTGATGTTCATCTCACCCTACTTTTTAGGGTCCGCCGGTGGTGTCCGCGCGCCTCTCGACAAACTTCGATTTTGCGGTCAGTTTTACCAAAGATAATTATTTTTTAGGAGGTAAAAATGGCACCATCGGATAGTTTGGAATGTTTTGCACACGATTAGACTGCTTTTTACTCAAAAGAAGAGAAAAAATATTTTGAATTTATGCGTGCTAATTCTGAAAAAGGGCCACTGTGCAAAGGTCAATGACCCGACCTGACCTTCAGGTGACCTTGACATCCACTCTAATGCATGGGAGCAACATTAAATCACATGTTTGAACGTTTGAAACCACGAAAAGCTTGCAAACGCGCGGCTAATGCGAGCCGACATACGCCGAATCGCGATTTCGGACAAACATGGTCACGGAAAAGAGGTCACAGGTCAAAGGTCATTGGGTTCAGGGTCATGAAATTCTCAAAGTAGGTGTAAAATTGATCAATGCGAGGGTACGTAAGGTTTCGTCGCGATCGACCGCTTTATTCGCGAGTTATTCGCGAAAAACCTTAGGGGGGTGCATCAACCCCCCTGTGCCGGCGAGGGTTAAATTAATCGCTTGTTCTATGTGGTCTTAGACCTTAATTTTCTATTTAAAAGGCCTATAAACGAACGCAGAATGGCATGTCACTTTTAACTTTCTCATGCTCTATGTTATTTGTTCTGCTCGTTATATTGCTAGTTTCTTCATCTATGATCCAGCAGTTAATGCAAAATGTCAACGTTAATCTTTTGTTCTCAGCAGTGTTGTTATGTGATGTATGTACCCTTTCCCTCGCTTTTCCTATTTCCTTAATTGGTTGTTTTGACGCTTTGCTCCCGGTGATGTAGTGCAAACGTTTTGTCTAGACATTTTTACTAATCACTAACACACTAGCGCTCTCCATCGTTGTTGAGCTATGCCTAAAAAGACGCAGTCGTAGAGTGGTGAAAAAGTTTGTCTGCTTTTTAAAGCTGCTCACTTTGCAGCTCGATTAGGGGCACCTTCAAAGAAAAACTTTATTGCATACCAATGCTTGAATCGAATTATAAATAGCAAGCCTGCAAGCCATCTGCTGATGCAACTGCAACACCCTTAGTTTTTTTTTCTCTCTACATCAGACGAAATTGAGGAGAAATGACGAAAGGCAAAAGATGAACAGATATAGTGCCATTATGTTTCGGATATTTTTGTGAACGATTTGGGAAGTCGAGAACGTAGAATAACCTCATACCTTTGGGAGACAAGCTTTGTCGCTAGAAAAGTTCGATACACAAAAAACTGCTCGAAACGGAAACTGCCGGCATCAGTTTGCCGATTATTTTATATATAAACAACTGCATTTAGGAGAGATATTTAAAAACTTGAGATTTTGAACCAATATAATACCCAGACAAGTAAAAGTTGTTGAGTAAAGCTAAAAGATAATTTAAGCTGGCCTGTTTCAGGCTTATGGTCTACTGTAGCACGCACACACACGCACAACTTTAGTGGCTATCGTATCTTCATTAGCTTATTGCCTGGCACACTGGTTCAGATGAGGACTATAACTTAGAAATGGAACCTACTCGGTGCAGAACTTACATCGAATAGCAGTTACCAATTTATTTTTTCTTCGATTAGATAAGTTGTTTGTATTGAGTTAGGTAAAAATGTTATTTTTACCTTTCTATCTTAGTAGCTTTTTACGTTCTATGGAGTACAAAGTATTTTAAGTTGACTTGTTCAAATTTTAGTCCCCTAATGCTATTCATTCTCCCTTTATTTTGGGCAGCAATGAAAATTGACCATTCGCTTCTTCATACTCACCCGATTCCTCTTCTCCGGTTCACGCGAGGCGGGCTCGGCGGACTGACCTTGACCCGGTGACCGGTCACGCCCCTGGCGGCGCCGGCGACCAATCAGCGCGCTGAATCGCCCCATTCTGCCTCCCACAGGGGGCCAGCGAGCGGACATACGAAAGGATGCAGCGCGTGTTTAAGATCCGCGCCCCGCGGCCCCGCAACCCCTACTACCGCTACATCTGATCCTACCGACTTTTTTCCTCCCTCAGCTGGCTCGGTTCGCCGCTTCGCTTCGCTGAGAACGCACGCCATTCACTCTCATTCGCTTCGTAGATAGCGCTGTTGATAGCAACACTAATGCTTTTTTTACAGCGTTTATGGCAGCAAACGAAAAAGCAAAGAAAAGACGGAGGTAACTAGCCTGTCAAGCATATGACGAAGGGAAAATATAAGCAAATAACATTTTGTTTCTTCAATGTAAGACGATTTCCGAATGATTGACACATTTGTGCGATTTCTTGCGATTTGAACACAAATAACATCAACATACTTTGAGAATAAGCAGCATTTTTATGAAACTACTTATACCACACCATTTATCCTAACTTCTCCCTTCTTTCTAGAGATTTGATCACCCACTGGCCTTATGAGCGAATAACAGCCCAGCCATATCGGCTATTTTCCTTTTCTGGTTCCCGATTCCGGCCCTCCGGACCGTCCCTCACCGTCGGTCTCGACCTTCCCCCACTCAGCACCCCGCGGCCACCCGGCCCGCCCCCTGGGCACCTCTCTGAGCCGGTGTTTTCTGCGTCCACAGGGCGGAGAGTGGGTAGTGCGCGCTGTGCAGCGCAGCTTCTCGCCGCGCGCACCGCGCACCGTGCGCCGCTACTTCCGTTACATCTAGTCACCTCCGCCTCTCCCCCTCCTCCCTTCAGCACCCCGCGGCCCCTCCTCAGTCCTCGCTTCGACCGCGGCACCGCACCGCGGCCCCTCCTCAGTCCTCGCTTCGACCGCGGCACCGCACCGCGGCCCCTCCTCAGTCCTCGCTTCGACCGCGGCACCGCACCTGACGAATGCTCGCTTTGTAGCTACGTGGTGCACTCCAGAAGTTTTGAGACTTTTTCAGTAGAGACAGTTGTCTGTTTCAGAGAAGCATGAAACTTGTATGACTCTCGAAATGGAACCTCCCGAGTCCAATGCACCTGCTTTAGCGCTCCTGTCACAGCCTGAAGCCCTGCTGATAGGCCTTCAAAGTGAAGGTGCCCAGGGCCTCTGTCACAGCCTCACTCATCTCCTCCACATCCTCCGAAAGACGGCCCCTGAGCTTCCCTGTCAGTCTGTGGAACATCCAGAAGCCACGGGGGCCAGATCAGGACAGTGGGAATGGTTACGGACGGTTTTGACGCACATCTGTGTCAGATAGTTCGTCTCCATGGTGGACTTGTGGGTGTGTGCGCCGTCCTGGTGCAGGAGCCCCTGGCCACAGTTGAAGAGTTCCGACCTCTTGCGGCGAAATCTCTTTCTCAACTCCCTCAGAACCTTCACGAATCATTCCTTGTTGACCATCTGGCCGTGTAGGGGACCCAGGTTATGAATTTTTTGCCTTTTTGTTCTAAGTAAGGGACTAATTTGAGCTTCCCAGTGGACCTGCGCTGTCTGTCTTTATTGGGTCGGAAGGAATCAGTACATGTTTTCATTAAGGACCTTCTGTCTCTTGGTCTCATGATGGTAAAAATACATCCAGCTTTCGTCTCAAGTCACTTGAGAGTCCATTTGCTATGTTTCTCGGGCATTTTTGCCAAGTTAATCCCAAAATTTTATTGCACAGCGACCCTCCAAGTTGTCTTCACATGAACAACCTGACAGTGCTCTACACTGGTCACTGTGACAAGCCGCGTGCGACTTGTCATGTTCAGGGTGACACCGTTGCCGTCTTTTGCAACGCAGAAAAACAAAATTACGCAAGTACGTTTATAACAACTGTGGTAAGGACTTGTGAGAGCAACAAGTATTTAGCACTATTCATATGGATTTTACGAGGCCAGTCTCAAAACTTCTGGAGTGGACGACGTAGTAGCCTGGTGTTTGCCAGGGCTTAGGAGCTTTGCGCCGGCGTTCTGCGTTTTTCGTGCAGAGATGGAGCCAGTTTTTCGTGGTGGCCGGTTTGTGCCAACACGAGTTACTTATCTTCAAAACCATTTAATACACTCGCAAGGAGAGCGCTGGGGAACAGGTGCTCAACTATGATAGCCCAGGAGATCTTCGAGGGATTGTATTGTTGCAGTTCAATGCTTTCCGATTTAAGATAAGACCTTTCAATCTACGACTCGTATCATTTGCTATCAGGCAATGACTATTGAATAGGAAACACCTGCCTACGATGCTTATAATTGACGTAATATGTGTCCAATTACGGTTTAATGTAAACATTTCCTCTTTAATCATTGTTTTCACCAATCTTGATATGCGTGTTCCACGTAAACTTTGCCCGATACCACCGTCTTCTCTTACTAGGTCGTACTTAATGACCTGTTTCACCATAAACGCCACTATAAACAGCATTAACTCGGCGTGTTTGCGCTCGCCGGTTACGACTGCAAACCGGCGCCCGCCGGCCGTGATAACATTAAAGCTGGCGCGCTGTTTTTGTACCAGCCCACATCACCAAAGCATGCTTTACCGTCCACTGGCGTCGGTTCCGAACGGCGTACACATCCGTGGCTAACAATTTTTACTGACCCATGCGATATGCTATTTTGACGTGCAATTATTTTCCGCTGTGCATTTTATCGCAACTCGACTTTGGCTGGGCACAGCGATCCCGGTCCTTGGCGGCTCCGAGAGTGCCGCTCCGCCTCTTCTGTCGGTCTCTCTCTCTCTCTCTCTCTCTCTCTCTCTTCTCTCTCTCTCTCTCTCTCTCTCTCTCTCTCTCTCTCTCTCTCTCCCCTTCTCTTCTCTCCCCGTCTCCGTCTGTCTGTCTGTCTGGCTGTGAGGGCGGATGTGTGACCGGGCCTGTGTAACGGCAGGGCGCGGTCAGGGACCTCCCCATAGTCGGCCGGGTGAGTACAGTACCGCTCGACCCCCCCCCCCCCTCCAGGGACTCACTGACTCTGACTCGGTTGGGGCCTCGTCTCGCCTGCTGCTCTCTTGGTCTGTAAGCCAGCGCACACGGGCGGCGTCTGTTCGTTTTTTTCGGCTGTCTGACAGGAACAGACTGCCCCTGTTTGTCAGTGTGCCGGCCATTTGTCTTTAGGCTGAGGGTGCTCGTTATGCTTCTTTTCTGTTGGCTCAGGCTGTGCGGCTGTTTTTAAAGTCGCGGTGGATTTTTGAGGAGAAGTTATGGCGTATTTTTGTAACCAGCAGCTAAAACACTGATAAGTTTCAGAAGGATTCGGTGCAGAAGCTGACACAAACATTGGCACGCATTGGGTCCGTTTGACGACTTTGAAGCATTCCGTCCTCGCTGGGTTCTCAATGTCGCTAAAGCACAAGGTCCAAGCCCTAACGTCAATGATATAATCATATATTAAATCATGTTCAAACACTGGCTTACAAGTAAACCTGATAATCTTTGCATGGACTTTGCTTCTAAATTTGTCCATAAATATATTTTTCTCGAACAACAGTACAACTTTGATGTATTCTTAGATAATTGAAGTTCACAGCTAAACACCGCCTCAATAGCTCGCCTGTGCTCTGAGCTCACATCTCTCGCCTGCTGACGTCACTGTGCCCCTGCTGACGTCACTGTACCCCTGTTGACGTCATGGGGCGCGCTCGCCGCAGGGCCGCACGTACTCGCCGTCCATGTCGGCGGACTCCCACCGGCGTGTGACGCGCGCCGCCGAGCCGGGTCACTCGTTCACCAGGATGCCAGTGCTGCTGCGCGACCCCGAGACCCTGGTGGTGATCCCGCACCGGCGCCAGCTGACGCACGTGGCCGACGCCCTCGGCGACGACCCCGTGCTGCAGGTCAGTAGTTGCAGCGAACGCGAACGGGGGAAAAGGAGGGTAGCTTTAGTGGCATTGCTGCAGAATGTCAGTCTGGCCTAGAGAATGATGAAGGCCATGAAGTGCTCTTTATTTTAGGTTATTTCGTGCTATATACCTTCATGGAATATTGTTATCTCGGACAGCACTCACGAAAAACATAAATATCTGTTGTGCGATGTTCGTACATCGAAGTCTTCCCATGAATAGAATAACAAGGCCCGGCGCTCCCTACTTATAATTTAAAACCGTATAAATCAAATAGAATTAGTGCTAGACGTTTTCACGACGGAGCATTGACCACCTATTTGATCCGTTTGATCCGTTTTTAGTAGCTGTTTACGAGAAGGTTATCCATCCTTTCGAATGCCATATCGATTGCATTGTTTTTTTTTCTTCCAAAGCCGATCAAAAAGACGTCCAATGCTCCGTCGTGAAAAAGACTGATTCAATTGCGAATCATGATTTAAACTTAAACAGCATAAAATAGCTTGGTAGATGCTATGCAACTGCTAGTCAATATGCTAGTCGTCCTAGTCAACTGAAAACACATGTCAATAGATCATTGTTGGTCCATGTCCTAGTTCATTTTCTAGCCGCTTTGCTGAGCTGCGTCAGGTCAGAGTCAGTTAGCGTCTATTGACGCTGAGTCGCAGTCTATAGCTGAGTCAGGGCGTTGTGAGTAGCAGAGTGTTGGCCGCGTTCGCTCGGTGACCGGCTGTCCGCCATCTTGTGCCGGTCTGTCCAGCTGCCGCCCCGGATACCGCGATACTCGAGTACGGGCTGGACCGTGCCACGTGTAAACTATAAGAGCGCGGCGAGTCTCACACCCGGAGTAAGTGACCGGCTACCCGTAGACGGTGTGTAGTCGCTGGTGTGTAGCCACCCCTAAACCGGTAGACGGCCCTGGTGCAGTCCATGGTAGTGTCCGAACCCCGTCGTGTCGACCTCTTGTCAACCCCTTCGTGTGTCGGCCCAGAACAAAATGCGAACCACTGGTGAAAGCTCAGTCAAAGTGACTGCATGTACGACCGTCTATGTTATGTTTCCCGGGCCGCACTAATTCCTTGAAAACGTGGATCCATGGATGGCGCAAAACCAAGGAATACCAGCACCATGCATGCTACATATTTAGACTAGAAAGAGCATGCTAGGAACAACATGTAGAGCAGAAGCTGCGTTGCGTATCGAACGTATTAGTACAGCCTGAAAGGCAAACAATATGCAAATGAATTGAAGTGACAAATAAAATGGAATTAGTCGAGCGTCAAAGAAACATCAAAAGTAGGTCAACGGCAATAAAGTAGGTAATGATTTCGAAATAAATGCGTATATTGCAATCATTGCAAGAAGGCAGATAGAGTGTTTTCTGCTATCTTTTGTTGTCAGTTTTAACAGCATTTGAAAAAAGGAAACCGGTTAAATTTGAGTAATGGGTAGTAAATTATATTTGAAAAGGATTAGTGCTTCAGCTCATGAATCACTACTGCATTCCAATATCTTTGTTGAACACTAGGGATACAGGTAGGACGATCCCCACCATACCCTCTCGCCCTCACTAGTACCTACTCTACCCCCAACTTGCATTGTTAATTGTCACCCTTGTGCAGGGGCGGCGGATTCGGGGGGGCAGGGGGGGCAGTTGCCCCCCCTGGCAAACTCGTGGGGGGGCAAAAGTATCTTTTTGCCCCCCCATAATTTGTGACAAAGCTTAGACAAGAAACCATATACCTGATTATTCTGTTCGATCATCTGAAAATGTAACCAGATGCCCATATACTTTATCATACGTTGCCTTTCTTAAATGGCAAGCGTTAACGTTCAATTGAAGTTTTCCGCTCTTCAACCTAGTTTTGGAGGCATTATAAGCGTCAACGTGAAGCAGTGGCAACCCAGGCCTTCAGTGACCGCTTACAGGGGCGACGGATACGGGGTGGCAGAGGAGGCATCGTTCCCTAAGAAACTTTTGGACGAGGGGCAAACGTATATTCTTGCCCCTCCATAATTTGTGCCCTAAACATGAGGAAAATTTCCATAACCTGATATTGCAGCTAGCGCTCCTACAGTTTGTCCAACGGTGCCTTTTGAATATGTGTAAATGCTAACCATTTCCGCTTTATATCATTTTGTTTTTGTCTTTTCAGATTCGATTTATAGATGTGTGCAAGTGACGCAACTCATACCTTCAGTGGTCGTTTGCCTCTATGTTGTGCCTACATAAATGCCAAATCGCAAGCGAGCGGAGACGGAAGGGCTAGGCATTCGCTTGCGGGTAGTTAGGACTGATGAGCGCTCATAATAAGCCACTCCCCCGATTTTTTCGAGCGCAACAGTTTCCAGCGCATAAAATGGTAAACGCCGAGGTCGTGCACATTGACGACATTGACCAATGCACGGTATGGTATGACACCCAAAGGCCGGTCATCAGAGATCTGCTTTGGGCATTCGGAGGCTTGTGTGGGGCCAGTGTAAAAACTGGATGTTCACTGTTCAGTATCCGCTTTATTTCAGTTTTCACTATTAAAAAAGTAAAAATTAATGTTGGAAACTTTTGAGGGTTAGGGCACTGATCATTAGTGGGCCCCCCTCTGTCTAAAGGCTGACTATAGAATAAAGAGCATCAAACACGAACAGCAGCGGCGGAACACCTTCAATTAAGGGAGGGGGGGGGGGGGGGACTGCCGACTTTTGGTCCCATTCTTTCCATGCAACGCCCATAGGGCCAACGTTAAAATGCCAAAATCAAAGGGGGCACGGTGCCCCGGTGCCCTCCCCGTTCCGCCGCCTATGAACACGAAAGCAAAATCTGAGGCATTTTGGAAAAATGAGTATGCCCCGCAGCGTCCGATAACTACCACCTTCCAGTGGGTCAAGCCAACGGGGCCCAAGTCTATTAGACTATGGCACACTTAACGAAAGCACTAACCTTGTCTCACTTTTTGTTGAAGTCTGTTCCGAATAGTTTCGGTCATAGACTGGCTGCACTGAGGTCGTTTGGTATGTGCAACTGTAATTAAAGCCACCTGAGGCACCCTAACACCAGGCTGAAGCTAGGGTTGGAAATGCTTCGTCTTTGCAGATATCACTGGCCGCTGATTCTCGAGTGCCTAAATCGGTAGATGTCGTGGCAAAATTTGGTGTGATAATTTGGACCTTACCGCAGTCAGCGCACCCTAAAGCCCCGATAAAGAAACGCCCCACCCAGAGCTTCTGGATCCTCATTCCAGTCCACCGTTCCTTCACCCTAGCCCGCCGCTCCCTCGCCTCAGCCCTCCGTTCCCAGCTTGACGAGCGTTTGGGCCTTAGTTAAGCCTTGCTGTAGGCTAACTGTATAAACCCATCGAGACAGCCCGTCTCGGTGAGCTTAGTTGGCGAACTACTGCCTTGGGGAGGGTTTCTGGCGGATCGCTGTCCCAATAGGTTTAGATGCGACCGACTGTCTCTGAATGTTTGAGCGGTCTCCTCCCGCTGTGAGCTAGTTTCAGTTGATATCTGTCTCAGAAATAATTTTTAAAGGAAGGTTAAACGGAAATCGAACGGGAAATGAACAGAGGAAATGGTAACGAGTTACCTCATTGAAGAATAGCGCTCGCCTACTTGTTAAAGATTTGGAACCGTTCTTCAACATCTAATATGCGATCGGGTTATGGCACAACTTTTCCCATTGGAGTTTTTTTTTTCTAATACAGCAATACGAAAAGCGTTGCATCGTTTACTGGCGGAACCAGGGAGCGGGCATTTAAAGCAAATATTTTCTCTCCCTCCCCTGGCTCCTGCATCGCCCGAAATAGACAAAACGTACCTTATGTTTCCTAATAATAACACTTTTATCAGATTTGTTTTTTCTTTATATTGTTCAGCAGTAGATTCGTAAGGAATCGAAATCCGAAGAGTTTTTGGATTTTGGACACTTGGGGGGGGGGGGGGGTATGTCCCCTACAGCGTCGAAAACGCCTTTCTGGATCCGCCTATGACATCATCTCGACAGGGATCTTGCCCCCCCACGCCAAAATCGAATCCGCCGCCACTGCCCTTGTGGCCCCTCCGCCGTGTACCTACCTAATTGTAAAACCGACCAACAGGGTTGTAGCGCTTTTTACCAATTTATTGCAGCTCTGTCTCTTGTCAGTATTGTTAGATTCATGCATTTATTTTCTATGCTGGGCACGCATGTCTTAAAGATATTGGTAGCTCATTGCATTGAGCATCTTGCTTACGTCAGTTGTCTCATCCTCTTCACGGTTTTCCATTCGCCGACTTTCATCCCCTCCTCTCGGACACACGATCTGGCACCGTGAAGAGCTCCGCACGGCGCCCGGTTTTCTTTGGCTCTGAACAGGGGTCGATGGCGTTCATCCGCGCTTTATGCCCGGGTCGAGACGCGCTGCTCGCTCCTCGGCCGGTCTTTGTGATCGGCGCCGGCGGCTCTCGAGCTGCGCCCGGCCCGCTGTCAATAGGGCCCTCGGTGGAGCCGCCGAGAGGGCAGTGCCGGTTCGACCAGACGGGAACAAATAGCCGGCCGTCACTGAGCCCCGAGCCGGACTGGAGCGGATCAGCGGCCGACAGCGCGATGGCCAGTGCCGGGCGAGCCCAGATGAACCCGAGCCGGGATTAAACTGAACCGCCGCGCCGGCCGGCGGACATCAGCGCACAGACCGAGCGTCAACACGGCCACAGGTCACGGCAGGGCAGAAATAGAGCAGCACCGGGACAGGTCAGGGCCAGCACTGCGCGGGAATAGATGAATGGCTGATGGAAGATGGCCGGATTTCAGGCGGGGCTAACCTTGCCCATGAGCTGCCTGAGGCAGATATGTAAAACATCTTGGGCTGTCTGGACGGAAAAGTAATTCAAAAGCATTGGGGATGAAATACAGACCTCTGCTTTTACTCGCGCCTTCTTCCAGCATCTTTCCGAAACATAAATCTCATCATCCTGAAACAGGAGCAGGCATACAAGGAAGTAGTTCCGGCATTTCAAATTTGTCTTGGAAATGAAAACCAAAACGAATGAGCATATATGTCTCACAATGGACTCGTGCTGCGCTCGTCCAACAATCGTAGACGGGATAGCAGTGACGGCTCACAGGCCAACCGACCAGTGACTGCCTTAATGGCAGCTTGCTCCATGCCCGTCTGAACCTGCAACTGACGGCGGGTCCAGGTAGTCCAGGCCTGTCCCTGTCTGAGCTTGGAGTGACGGTCAGGTGACTCGACCCAACCCTTGTCCTCACCTGGAACAGCAAAGGCGTGTGCCCCAAGTGTCAGTGATCCTGTCACGGCCACATCGGCTGACTGAGGTCCATCCAGGCACGACCGCCTGTCGGTGGTCCATCCAGGCTCGGCCGCCGCGCTGGGCTGACGGCTCGCCCGACTCGGGGCGTCGTTAGAGGAGGGGCTCGCCGGCTCGCACTGTCGGTCTCGTAACGAGGCCCCCTGCCACCACCACCGGGTGTACGTACGTAGAGCCTTTCGGGGAACAGCGCCGCCAAAATAGACCGCCGGCGAACACAGCTCTGAAGACACGAAGGAAACAGACCCAACGATCGATAGAGACAGGAAATGAGAGAGCCCGAGCAGGGTAGAGAGCAAAAGGAGAACGAGGAAAGAGTGGGTGTTGTGAGGGAGAGAACAAGACACGTGACTGGAGAGAGAGAGAGAGAGAGAGAGAGAGGGAGAGAGAGAGAGAGAGAGAGAGAGAGAGAGAGAGAGGGAGAGAGGGAGAGAGAGGGCGAGAGAGAAAGAGTACACTGAAGATACAGGTCCTTATATTACATACAAGTGTTAGGAGCTGTCCTATGTGTTTAATGCGAACATAATCTAATCTCATTGCCATATACAGGGTGGACCAAAAAGGATGGAAACATTTTGAACTCACATAAAATATGTGTTATTGCATGCAGGTGACTGAAAATGATACCAAACGAGAGTACATTTCGTGGAAATTTATAATGACATCTCTCTCATCTGCTTTCTCTCGTTTTCAGTCTCCCACAGCAAATGTTCGAAGAGGCCACTTTTGCGAGACAGGCAAAGAGCGGCCCGCCTGGCTGCTGACGCGATAGCCCGATGACACATGTCCGCTGGTTTGGCTCGCACAGCCTTGGTGATCACTCTCTTCAGGTAACAGATGCCTTTAGAACCTTCCTTGTAGACCTGGCCTTGAGATGACCCCACAGGAAAAAATCCATCGGGGTCAGGTCAGGTGATCAGACAGGCCAGTTCCGACAGGCACTGCGGGATATCAGCCGGTCACCAAAGTGGTTCGCGCTCCACTTGAGCGTTGTTTCGCGATGTGAGGAGGCGCACCGTCTGGCTGGAATCACATGAGGTCCATGAGACTGCCATACTTCGTTTGGGCTCACTTCAACAACTTCTTTAGCGTCGCTTGATAGCGCTTTTGGTCGTCAGCCACGGTGTTGTCGCTCCCATCCTCGAACCGAAGTGGAACTGGCCTGTCTGTCTTCTCATCTGACCTATGGATTCCTTTCCTGTGGAGTCATCTCAAGGGCCAGGTCTGCAAGGAAGGTTATGTAGGCCTCTGTTATCTGAAGAGAGCGATCACCAAGGCTGTGCGAGTCATACCAGAGGACATGTGTCATCGGGCAGGCGGGCCGCTCTGTGCCTGTCTCGCAAAGGTGACCTCTTCGAACATTTGCTGTGAGAGACTGAAAACGAGAGAAAGCAGATGAGAGAGATGTCAATATGAATTTCCACGAAATGTTCTCTCGTTTGGTATCATTTTCATTCACCTGCATGCAATAACACATATTTTATGCGAGTTCAAAATGTTTCCATCCTTTTTGGTCCACCCTGTACACTTACTGCCTGTGTTTATCGTTGCTTTATTCCTGCGGCCATCCCTGTTCACAGTACTACGAAGACCGCCTGCACGAGACAGACGAAATCAACAACGCCCACGCTAGCCGAAGGATCATCGAAATGCTTCAGCCCATCGCCATTCCCAAGTAAGCCAAGCTTTCCTACGTGCTAGTTGCACAGATTTGAACCTTTTTGTTCAGTTGAGTGCGTTGTTAAGATTTTGCTGCCAGGCTCCTCACCTTATTTTCGGTATTTTGCGCTTTAGCTTTGTTCTTCGTGCAAAGTGGAAAACATTTATCACACGGTTGGTTTAATTTGCCGACTTTTTCCTTCTCGCCACATTTAACGCTTTATTGGCCTCAGCGTGCTGTTCCTTGGGCTTTTGTGCCTGGCTTGATACATCTAAAAGAAAAGTTGCATTCTTAGCTTAGACGGTCAGCTTAGCTACGTAAACAAGGAACCTTGAGAAGTGAGTCGTTGGGAGTGTTCCGCTAGTTAAAAGCTCCTGTTGATCGACACTGTCGGAGGCGCCTGCCCGGTATGCCTTGTAACTTGAAAAAAACTCCAGTACAATTCGGCTATTTTTTACTCTTTTCATTATGCACAAATACGGGCTTAATATATCACCGCATTTCTGGTGTGATCGTGCCGAATCTGTCGTTTCCGTACCGTACGTTATCATTGGTATCAATTATAATTTTATAACTTTTAAGACACTTTCAAAAAAAAAAAAACAATCGCCAGCGTCGGTTTCATGTTGAGCCCTGAGCAAAGAGCACCCATTTCCAAGTCCCCAGTTAATTTGCGCTCCACCCGCAGCGCAGTGTGAGTGTTCTGTCCGTCTCTCCAGCGGCGGACAGTCGGACAGGCCTCCCGGGGTGTGGAGGAGTGGCCCCTCTCCCGTGTCCTCTCATGTCGAGCCGCCACTCCGGCCGTCCCGACAGCCGGCGCCCCATGTTCCCGCCCGAGCCAGCCCGCTGCCAGCCCCCTGCCAGCTCGTGGCTAGCGACCAAGCTCATGACGGGGCGAAAATAGCCGCCGAGCCGCCACCGAGTCTCCGCCTGACACGGGGAGAAGGCCGCCGGCTGACACTGGCAGAGGCGGCGCCGCCCACCCGGCCTTGACGCCGTGTTGACAGAAACAGGCCCGGCGGCACGGTGGGGCGCGGTCCAGCCGTGGAAGTCGTAACCTCTGGCGTCTGCTCGGACCCAGCCCGCAGCTCCCCCCGTCTCATTACCGCACGGTTTTCACCTCCATTCAGTCAGCCTCCGTCCTAATCTGCGGCACCGAGCGACGCTGACGTCACACGAGTCGCGGGCCTCGCACACGTCACGCACGTTACATTCATATTTCCTTCTCTGTCCCTCAGTCGTCCCGTGCAGCACCGTGCCGTCCTGACTTAATCAGCGCCCCATGGGAGTCCTGACTGGGCGCTCATCAGCGCGCGCTCCTTTCAGGAAGTTCTACCCGCGAGAGGCGGAGTGGAAACCGAAGCCGTACAAGAGGCGCACCATCGAGGATGAGCTGAAGCCGGTGCGGCACAACATCGCCGTCCGCTCCTACTTTGACCGAAACAAGGAGGCGGCCGACCACGACTCCAAACGCATAGGTAGAGGAAAGGAATGCACTAGTTGAAAGAAGGAGATAAGGGTATTTTTACGCCCTTACAAAGAGCACATGCTCGAACGTTTATTTTGACAGATCTGCCAAGTTCTAGATGTCATCAGTGGCCATAAAGCTGCTCAAAATTCCAGTCCTCAGTCTTAAGAACAACCTACCATGCATTCCTGATGACGGGGCTGACCGTCGGACTTTCCTCCCCTCCCCCCTGCACGCCTCAGGCTCCGGTAACGTCTCCTGCCTGAACTTTGTCGGCGGGAAGGTGACCAGTCGCCGGCCGCGCACGCGGTTCTACGACCACGACAAGATCCGCACGGAGATCGACCTGCTGTCCCGCTACGGTCACGTGCGCGATGACCTTGACCTGCACCAGTTCAAGGACAGTGAGTACCGAGCGGCGTGACACTGCATAGAGGTGGGAGCGAGGCGCCAGGATTGACACCAATCAACCGAGTAGTGCTGGAGTAAGAGTTCGGAAAGATATAGCCGAACACGCAATATACTAGTACATTTAGTCCACAGCTATTGTGAGGGAAGCATGAATATTTACGGTCATCAAACTATAAGCCCACACCTTGAGCCTACTCAGCGCATTGTTGTTGATCCTTTCGCCGCACACTGCCGACGTGTGACGTCACACACGGTGACCTATGACGTCACCGGCTGACGGGGATGGCGCTCACACACGGCTTGGGGTGTGCGTGTGTGTGCGTTCGCCCGCCCTCGGCACCCGCTCCGGCCACTAGAGCTAAGCCAGCTGCATTATGTATATTCTGCCGAGCGGTGCCAGCTGATGGCTAATTGTTTGCTTCGGCGACGTTTGGCGGCGCGGGAGGCTCGTCACGAGAGGCATGTGTGAACAGAGCACATATAATTATGTGCGGCTGCCCTCATACGCCTGTTAGTGTCTGTGTGCATAGCACTAGGTGCAATGTGTTTACACGAGTGCACGCCTAGTCTACTCCACAAGCTGTGGAGCCCTGCTTTGGTGTGACTGTGGCATTCAAGGTGTGGTTGTATTTTAGGGAAGCATATAAAACAAACGCCTGAAGGAGTTAACGCGGAGCCCAGAGCTGAGCCCCCTAAAACCGAGCCAGCGCCAGCAGAGACTCAGCCAGGAACAGCCGAACAACAGGAGGCATGAGAGTACGTATCTTCACACCCCTCACCCCATGGGCGTTATTTGAAGCTATCACCCATATTATCTGTTCACACGGGGACTATGGGACCGGATCCTTTTTTAACGCTTTGAACGTCAAAGCTCAAAACGACCCAATTGATACGTCAAAGCTCAAAACGACCCAATTAATACATCAAAGCTCAAAACGACCCAATTGATACAAAAAGAATCATGAGAAGATTCTCACATTAAAATTTCCCGCATATGTGGTTTATCCATAGTTTATCCTTAAAAATACATGTTAATCTTCTTGTACACAGTCTGCCAATAGTCTACATACACCTTTATTTACGTAAAAGCGCGCTGCAGTAGTGTCCTTAGGTATGTGTTGTTTCTGTGAACATACATACTGTGTCTAGAAAACACTGAGAGACCGTCCCACATTGCCAATCGCTTGTGTCGAAAGAATACTCGATTTTTTCGCATGATAAACTAAATGTTCCAGATCACACAGAAACAGAAAGACATTGTTTTTTCGTCTTAATTAAAGGAATTCGGGATATATGTTAAAAATATCATTCTACAAAATTTGAAACGATATTTGGTCGTGTTATGTGTGAGAAAAAAAGATCATGAGCTAATGTCAGCAGCGTGGGACAATTTCTCGACGTCTAACTCGTATGCAAATACGTACATATTATCACACTGTATATGTATTTCATTATTGCATGTAACATTATCGTGGCCAATACTCTTCAGTACTCTATTTTATCTCTCGGTGGAAACCATGTGACTACTAAAATGTTACTCTTTTCTGTGAACTTAAATAATTGATAAAGTGAGCACATACACACATTTGATCTTGTGTACTTTCACTTTTTTCTAAATGTTTGCAAGTAACTGCCTTGTGATAAGCAACCGATGTTTTTGTAGTGTTACGCCTTTTAGCCTTGATGCTGCACATTTTCCAAAGCCCTGTTGATTAATGAAGTTTTTAAATACATAGTGTTTTTACCCTTTATCCTGTCGCACGTGTGACTAGCTGGGTCTTTCTGCACCATACTAGTGCACTGTTCGGTTTTCAGGACTCGGCGGCGCCAAGAAAGCCTAGGCGCTCCACGGCGCACTGTCAGCTGTGTGACAAATGCATCAGGCTGTGTTGGAAGTGGATGCTTTACCTCATCCCGAGCATCGTATACAACCACCATTGGTTGCTTATGTGCGCACTAATATCTGTTCGGCTCCCTTTCCATCATTCACTTCAAGCATGTGCGACACCACACATTTCTTCTCACTTCAATGTATTCTTTAATACACGCTTCAAACCCGCCATTGTTTACATCACTTCAATGCACTATCTCTCAGTTACTTTTGTATGGAAAACTGAACAAGCATTAGACGCTCGGTCAAATAATTCATAACAAAAGGAACATTGCGAGGACAACGGTTTTCTGCGCCTCAAAAATTTAGTTTTAAGTAAAGGTCAATGCTTCCAATAGATCTAGAGGCTCTTTCTCTAAAGCAAGGTTCTACTGGCTAGGCATTCTGAAAGCAGTATGATGCTATTTTTCCTGGTAAAATTAGATGAATAAGAACTGGAGTACATGAATGAAAACATATAAGAAGATCTCAAGATCTCGCTTCAACGTGCTAGCAGTCAGCTCTATGTCCACTTATCAGTCCATAAATACCTGGAATGCAAGCGATGTTAAGAAAAATCGGCATAATAATTTACAAATGCGTCTTTGTTTGTTCATGCAAGCCAGAAATGGTACACAGCAGATATCACGGAGATCAGATCAAACACTTCTAAAAGACACGTTTAAAAACTTTTTATGTTTCGAAATACATCTGAGCTAGGATACACTTTTTAGCGACTGACTATAATTCACGAGTCTGGTACATCGAGTGCCGCCCGTGTTCGGAGGAACTTCCCCACAGGGTCACCTCGGCCACCGGCGTCTCAGTCAGGTAAGTGTATTGTAGATCCGACCCCGATGATAACCCCTGTTGGCCGGTCACCCACGAATCGGTGCCACGCTGGGCTACCAGTTGCATGTCTAACACACCATTAATCCATGCTTGGAGAGTGCTTGTAGAATGCGTCGTTTGGTAGGCTGGGCGCCACTCAAACTGCATGCCTTGCTGTACATACATCTGGCCACTTATCGTTATCTTATCGGGGAGCGGGATGGTCCCCTGAGTCTGACCATGCACACTAGCCACAGCGGCCCAGAATGCGTGAGCAAATAAATACGTATCACGAACGGATTTTCCCATTCGCTCAGCATTGTGATCTGTTTGTAATGCGCATTTATTCTGCTCATGTATCCTCATGTAAGTGGCCTGATGGGCCGCATCGTCACGAAATCGGTCCGGTGTGGAAGGGCAGCTCAAAGTTATCTATCCATCTGTTCTGAATATATGAAAATTTACTGTCGCGAGCACACCGCCTCCAGCTCTGATATCAGTCCACGAATTAATAGCTTTACTTTTACCCCGGCGTCTGAAAAGCGCAAGTGTAACAACAAGCACGCGGATTGGATGACCTGCGTTATTGCATAGCGTTTGTTATCATTTTGTTGTGAATGCGTATTCCCCATGACACTATCCAACTTTTATTGAAATAACCTCTGCAAGTTAAATATCTGCATTGAAAGTTATCCATGTATGAAGGCTGTTCAATGTCAAATTGAGGAGGTATTTCAGTAGAAAAAATGTGTTATGGATAAAGATTGTGTTTGTTTATAGCTGGATGTATGCAGAATGCAGATGACATTTCTTTCCAGATGTTCAATGGATAGCTTAGCTGGATGTCGCTAGATGTAGCACACACACCTCATATGCTAGGTACAGTCACCAGCAGTTGCTACCCATCACCCCCGGACGGCGGGGGAGCAGGCTACCACCGCCCCTGCGAGACTAGCGCCGCCATGCGCCAAGAAGTGGAAACACCACGTGACTGAGGCCACGTGAGGGCAGGGTCACGTGATGGAGGGGCGGAGCATAGTAGCTTTTGCGCCCGACACTAACTGAAATGCGGCGCTGTGATTGGGCGCCTTAGCATGAATGAAGCCCCGGCGCCAGAATCAGCCGTTCGCCTTATATGGAAAGTGAGCCTTTGCGTTTCACTGTTCTGTATTGGTTTGAGAGCCACGGCACCATACGAATTGTGAGCCCCTTTGAACGGGTCACCGCCCGAGGCACTGAGGCGACGGCTGTGCCGGGCAAAGCCTAGCCTGGTGGGAGAGGTGGGCCAGGGAAAGTGCGATCGAGCAGCCACTGGGACGTGAATTGGTATTATCCAACCGCGACAAACGATGTCAGCAGCCTCTTCTCGTGTCATAGACAGTGTCTGACACGAAAAGCTAGACAGACAACGTGGGCAGTACCCAATCAAAAGCTACTAAACGATCCAGTTAAGAAGTTGGCGAGGTAGCCAGACCAAATAAAAAGTTTTTAATTCGATTTTGGTTGACAACTGACATACAAGCCCGCTGTGATGGACCAAAGAAGGAGCTGAACAGTTCATACAACTTCTAAAAAGCTCAACGGTTTAAAAATTCAAAAGTTAAATATTAAAATTCAGCCTGCATGTTTAAACTCTGGCCCGGCGCTGGCAGGAAGCTTATACTGCCACTTGCAATTCCACTACGTTGTAATATAGCCAAGAGTTCTGTGAGAGCAGCAACTGAAAGCCCCGTTGAGGGGGGGGGGGGGGGTGGCGGCGCGAAACGGCCCCCTCTCTCCTTTTCAGTCGATATCTCCTAAAGTATAGCAAATGTCGCCACCAAACTTTCAAGACCCCTCCGGGCATCATTTTTACACATTGTGACCAAATTTTTCCAGAGCTCTTATGAAAGGTTAGTCACAAATGACGTCAGAGGGATGTCATGTTCTGCCATATTCGACCCAATAAAAGGTTTAGCGGGAAGAGCTGTCACGCTTACAGTTTTGAAGATAACGAAAAATATTCAAGAAAAAAAAGATGTAAAATAAACAGCGCTGCCAAACTGCTAACTCTTATTTCCAAACAAAAATTGATTTTGACCATCAAAACTATAGAAGTATAACACCCCAAAAATACCAACAACTTTCAAAATTAAAACTGAAATATATGTTATATAACTATCTGCTCTAGATATGGCAAACTTAAACTCGATAGCTCCATTTTTAGCAAAGTTATGGCAAAAAAAGAACTACTTAAAATGTATTACGTAAAATTTTCAAATTCAATTTTTAGCCGTCACAGAGCACACAAAGCAAGCCAAAGACCACCATTGGATTTCCTGTGATGAGCTGCATCGAGTAGATACCCCTTTTATGCAAAATATCAACTTTGAAATTTGACCTTCTTTGACCTGACCTTGACCTGAACTCCACCAGAATGTAATATAAACTGGCCCCAATGGCCGTCTAGCCCACACCATTGAATTTTAAATGTAAAATTGGCCTTAAAACATGTATCACACGACCCTAGCATAATTGGGTTCATATTGTGACCCTTAGTGACCTGACCTCTGTGAACTGACCTGGCATCAATGACCTCTTTAGGCAACATATGTGTTAGACAACCAACGCTCCATCGATGTTTTTCGATAACATGCCTTTTATTTGATGTGTTAACTGACTGTAACGCATTCCTTAGACTAAATCGGTGAAAAAATGCGACCTTTGACCTGACTTTTAACGTCATGGGTTGCACCTAGGTCAACGAAACCTGGTAACAAGGTAGTTCCCTGGTGGGGCTATCGAACGCTCTTTGAATGTTTAAAATCGGTCGGTAACTTTCCGAGATCTCAGGTGGAGGGCGAAACGGCTGCACCACCCGATCAGGTGGTAGGGTCCGCCAATAGCCCAAGGGGGCGCGGAATGTTTATTCACTCATACAGTGTCATTTATTTTGAGAACACCTTTCTCACGCCATGACATTGTCCTCTCGTAATAGAATGAGATGAGGAGTGTTTTCATGCCTCCTTATGCACGGCTCTAAGTGTCATTGAGCTATCAACTGTCAGCGGTTTTCGGACAATGAAGTTCTTAGTTCTTACTGAATCCAATTTTATTTCAAACGATTGTCACTGTGCTAGTTTTCTTCTTATACGTTTTTGAAAAAGCGCTGAAGAATTCTTTGCTAGACGAAACCGGTCCGCTTATTCTTTTTCTAATTGTTTTTTGAATATATTCGTAGACTACTGGCTCTTTACTACAAAATTTGAGAATTACTTTGACCCGAACGATGTGCAGCTGAATTTTCCCTCTTGAATGATTATGGACAGCTCGCGAAAATAACTTCAACCTAAACTACCGACAAGCAGAAGAAAATCCGATACAAGCCGAAGCCTACCTCAATCCTCTCACCTTGTTCAACCGTTGAAACGTTAAAGACATTTGTTCAGTCTGAGTCGCTATGTCGACCACCCGCGCCGTGCTTGGGGGGGGGGGGGGGCGTTTTTACGCCATTCCCCCTCAGGTTTTTCGCGAATATCTCAAAAACGGCGACGCGACGCGTAGCGTCATTCAAGGTCATGGGTCACCAGGTAACGTCAAGTGACCTTACCTCAGAAAAAATTCGAAAGCTCGCTGTAGCTACACCGACTGGGCGATCACTTAAAAACTTTCAGTAATTGCTTAGGGTAACAGTATGTATAAAATGGATACCTCGGATTTCTATGTCTGTGACCTAAGGTCAGGTCAATTTTGCGACTGCTACATTAGGTATAAGTCAATGGCAGAAAATTGAAATGCACCTTTTTTGGACAAATTTCGTTCTACACCCTCTCAAACATCGGTTCATAGGTAAACATGACACACTGAATCGGAAAATTGCACCTGTGATTCCTGTGTGTGCCCCTGAGGTCATTTTAGGACATAAACGGTCTTCAGCAGTTCTTTGACTTTTGACAGAGACGTGCTAGAGCGGCGAAAACACCGTTGATCTGAGGTCAAATTTGAGGTCAATCATAGCGGTGCCCTCTGGGGGCTAAACCTTTGATCTGAGGTCAAATTTGAGGGCATGTTGGCGAAAGAGCGTTAAAAGAGCTATCGAATGCGCTTTTCCGCGGCGCTGTAGCTCTATTGGTTCCCGAGTTAGCCGTCGGTTGTTCCAAATCGTTGAACTCAACAAAATTTGACCTTTGATGAACCCTGGTGACCTGACCTTTGCCCTGACCTTAAAATGACCGAGTGTTTTCCTCCTTATTTTTGACGCTCTTTCGATTGTTGCTTACCGCGTGTCGCTACGTGGCCCAGGAGCCGAGTTAGACGGAGGGGCGTGAAACGCCCCCCCCCCCCCCCCAGCACTCGATGGAAAGTTCATGCCACCAAAACGGCGCGGGTTAATTGTTATGTTAGCTAGCTCCTGTTGTAAGCTGTGGAGTCGTAAACCTCATCTTGAAGGAACTGGGCCTAACATTTTCATAGCAAACGTCAAAAAATGTTAAGAAGTTGCGCAAAAAAATAGCATCTCTTTTATGAAACATTTGCGAAACCTTCAACAGTCATCCCCAGACCCCATTAGTGCCGAGCTCCCAACGACGACCATAAAAGCGTCCCTATCCCGTCATAGGCGGCGGAACGGGGAGGGCACCGTGCCTCCTTTGATTTTGGCATTTCAACATTAGCCCTATGAGCGTTGCATGGAAATAATAGGACCAAAAGTCGGCAGTGCCCCCCCCCCCTTAATTGTAGGTGTTCCGCCGCTACTGCATCCCGTCAACGTGGGTTTATCATAAGGATGCTTAAGATTTAATTTCCCATCCGAAGCTGCAATGATGGAAAGCAAATTTACATTTTACATGTGAAACAAGCTGACACAACTAGATATTTCCTCTCTCGATCCCTCTCACTGATTTACCCATTGCCCTCTTTCTCATTTTACCCTCTCTGGTTTTCCTTTTCAGTTTTCTCTCTCTCTCTCTCTCTCTCTCTCTCTCTCTCTCTTTCGCTCTCTCTCTCTCTCTCTCGCTCTCTCGCTCTCGCTCTCTCTCTCTTGCTCTCTCTCTCTCTCTCTCTTTCTCTCTCTCTCTCTCTCTCTCTCGCTCTCTCGCTCTCTCTCTCTCTCTCTCTCTCTCTTGCTCTCTCCCTCTCTCGCTCTATCTCCCTCTCTCTCTCTCGCTCTTTCTCTCTCTCTCTTTCTCCATCTTTCTCTCTCTCCCTCTCTCTTTCTCTCTCTTTCTCTCTCTCTCTCTCCCTCTCTCTCCTCTCTCTCTCTCTTTTTCCCTCTCTCTCTCTCTCTCTCTCTCTCTCTCTCTTTCCTCACAATATTCTCGACTGTCACAGCGTTATAGAGCTTGTTTCCAGACAGGTCCCGGCGCTCCCCACTCCGCAGGCCTCAGCCCACACGGCCCAACCGCTCAAACACCCTCCGGCGGATGACCTCTGACCTCGGCGACCTGACCCCAGCCGACCGATCGCGTCCCTCTCCACGCCTCCGCCCCGCTTCCCCCACTACAGCTGCGTAGTAATTGTAGCGTGTGCAAAGGTCACGTGACATTATTTACTTCTGCGGCTTGTTCGGCTGACAAGAGATGGCACTAGTGGTCTGTGGATCAGAGGCGGGGCTAGGTTCTACGACTTCTTGGGGCACACTTTACGGCAGAAAAGAGGTTTTTTGGCTCCCCATCCCACAATGCTTCGAATATACAAAAACAAGTTAGATATTCGAAAATCGGAGGACCAAACTGTTCGTTTGACGTATCTCGCGCGACTGAGAATTGATCGGTCTTCAAACTACTGAACAAAAACGAGGTGATTAGTAGCAAGTGCTGGTGACTGTACATACTAGGTTTCCCTCCATCACATTTAAAGTCGATACAGATGCAGGTAGAACTACATGCAGACTTAGAGACTCCCTGCCCGGGTTCGTTCCGTCGTCCCCAGCGCGACCCGTGGCGTGGCGGGGCTCGACCCACCACGCGCTGAGCTCGTTCGTGACCATTTATCGCGGGCGCCGCGCGCGTCGGATTATTTCCAAAACGGCTCCGATCGCTCCGGCCACCCGGCGTGACGTCATCGCGGGAGGTTATTTCGGTCGGCGCCGGCCCCGTTTCAGCGCCGCTGGGCGTGCCTGCCGCCCTTCCAGCCGCTGCCGAGCCGCCGCCGAGCCGCCGAGCCGCCTGGGTACGGGCGCTGGTAAGACGGCGACTGAGTCAGCTGCTGAGTCAGCCGTCAGCGGTCAGCACCGTCCCCGCCCGGCGGACGGTGGACGGTGGACGGTGGACGGTGGTCGGCGGACGATAACCCGCTGATTGGTGTTGGCCGTCCGTCCATCGACAGGCGGCCATCAGTTGCCAACAATTTCGCCAACTCCTTTGGCGCGTTTATGCCAGTTAGTAGCAAGTAAGGCTTAAACGGCATTTCAGAGGTGGCGATCAAAGTCGAGGTCAACGGAAGATCGATCTGACGTTTACTGAATAAATTATTCCGCTGCCTAACTACCGACCGAAAACGTTCAGAATTGTTGGAGGAAGACAGCGGGCGGCTTATTGGGAGAGCAGCTGCTGCCTTTAAGCGATGATGCCGAAATTATGTTTCTTAATAAAACTTGCCCAGCTGCATATTACAATAGCATCACTCATGAGCTGGAGCCACTCGGTGCTGCCATGAACGTAAACAATAGCTAGTCTCAGCTCCAAATTAGATCAAACAAAATTTTACAGGTTCAGCCTATGTCATTCAAGCCATGAGTCTGTCGGTCATCATGTCGGTCATCAGGGTAATTCGGAACACTCTGAGAATTGTCATGACATCAATTTATGCACCTTTTCAGAGGTCTTTAGCAACTAGTTGTAAATGCTGAAGCTTGTTCGTCAAGAAAAAAAAAATGAAGTAAAACAAGCAGTTCTTGCGTGTTGCTGGTCGGGTCCTCATGAGAGAGGTCCCCGTCCCTGTCCGCATCACTCACACCCCGGCAGACTATGACCTCATATCCGCCCAGGGGGGGGGGGGGGGGGGAGGAGGAGCTCTGCAGCTGTGACCTTCTGTTACCCTCGCTTGTCGGACTGAAACCAAGGTGACGGTCCCAACATTTCTGTTCCAAATGGAGCCGAGCTGACGGTGTTTCCCAATGTCCGTATTCCCATCAGAGCCGAGCTGACCCCATCTCCTGTGCCGCCTTTCCCAGTGAAACTGACGTCTCCTGCGTCCGCCTTTCGCAGTGAAGCTGCAGCAGATGCCGGGGCAGCCAGGCGTCTACAAACTGATCCAGTCGCCCGACAGACCGCCCCGGAGAAAGGCCGCCTCCGAGGATCCCGAGCTAGCCAGATACTCCAGGGTGAGAACGGCACTGACTGCACCAATTGGGGACAAGAACCTAGGATTAGCTGCTCCAGAAGGAGAACCAGGGCTCGGCAGATGCTCCATGGTTCCTGAGCCAATCAGGTACTCCAAAATAAGCTCCATATCCCACATGGTGCTTCAAAAGTAAGAGCCCATGACTTCCGGTTTAACTGAAGCATGAAAACGCGGAGCTGACAGAGCGTAAGATATAGTTTACGCCACTCTTTTCAAGGAATCAGATCTCACCGGATGGGTTTCTCTATCATTCAGAGAAAACCATTTCGGTGGCTACATCAGTGTAGTACAGGGTGATACAAAAAAAGCGGTCATCACCAAAATTCGAATAACTTCGGAAGTTTTATTCAGATCATCACCAAACTTCGGCCACTTTAGGTCACACCTATGTAGCAGACATCCACCAAGTTTCAAGTCTTCACTACGAATACTTTTAGTACAGTGTGTGTTTTACGGACGCTCCACAATGTGCTCCAGGTGAGCGCCCCGGCGCTGCAGGGCGTAGGCACACCTGCATCCGGCGGGCAAAGTTGCCGATAACCCGATAAGAATAACGTTTCAGGGGTAGCACACCCCCTGAGCACTGTCTCCAGAGGCCATTGCACTCTGTAAAGTGCACAGCCATCGGGTTATCGACAACTTTGCCCGCCGGATGCAAGTGTGCCTACACCCTGCAGCGCCGTGGCGCTCACCTGGAGCACATTGTGGAGCGTCAGTAAAACACACACTGTACTAAAAGTATTCGTAGTGAAGACTTGAAACTTGGTGGATGTATGCTACATAGGTGTGACCTTAAGTGGCCGAAGTTTGGTGATGATCTGAATAAAACTTCTGAAGTTATTCGAAATTTGGTGATGACCGTTTTTTTGTGTCACCCTGTACTTTTGGTGATTTTCATTGTCTGCGCTTCATGAAGTTCCTGTGATGTTTTTTCCCCAGTTCGTTGGTATGGTACTCTGAGTGACCTGCTGACGGCCAGCGGCGTCTGCTCGTTTACAGAGCTCGGCAGCGGCCGACTCGTCTTCGGGCCTCACCAACGGACCCCTGACGAACGGTCACTCGGCGGAGAGCGGCCGCCGGGCCGGCTCGCCCCCTCCTGAGACCGTGCAGGAGGAGCCCGAGGAGGAGCCGGAGCCGGAGCCGGTCAAACAGGCGTCCCAGGAGCCGCCGGCCAGGGAACCCACTCCTGAGCCGGTCAAGGAGCCAACTCCTGAGCCAGTGAAGGAACCCACCCCTGAGCCAATCAAGGAGCCAACTCCTGAGCCAGTGAAGGAGCCGACCCCTGAGCCAGTGAAGGAGCCCACTCCTGAGCCAGTGAAGGAGCCCACTCCTGAGCCAGTGAAGGAGCCGACCCCTGAGCCAGCCAGGGAACCGACTCCTGAGCCAGTGAAGGAGCCGACTCCCGAGCCCGAACCAATCAAGGAACCTACTCCTGAGCCTGAGCCAGTCAAGGAACCCACTCCTGAGCCTGAACCTGTAAAAGAGCCTACTCCTGAGCCTGAGCCTGTCAAAGAGCCCACTCCTGAGCCTGAGCCTGTCAAAGAGCCTACTCCTGAGCCTGAGCCTGTCAAAAAGCCCACTCCTGAGCCGGTGGAAGAAGCAACTCCTGAAGCAGAGGAGGGCCCCGAGCCTGTCATCGAAGAGCCGGATGACGTCATTGAAATCCCCGTCGACAGGCAGACGGAAGCGGAGCCGGAGCCGGTTGAGGAAGGTGAGATATCTTAGATAGGGACTTTGAACAAAGCATGATTGTAAAAAAAAAATTGTAGACTGAACCGTGGACAGATATAACAAACATACGAGACGGTAAAATTTATACTAAACTGATAAAGATCAGTTTGTCAATTTTGCTTATTCGTATAAGCTTAAAACATTCTTTTTAATCGAATGACTTACTTTGGAAAGAGTGATCCTAGACATTCCAATGAAATAGGTAACTGTCTAGAAATATGCATTTCTGGCCAATTTTATATTACTAAAGGCACTAGCAGTTACGCAGATTTGCTGGCATGCTTACTTAGGCGCTCATATCCTATGCATTTGTAGTGAGGTAAATTTTTTAGGACGAGTTTGTGCCGCATCAGTATACCCACGATGTGAGCTTCTCAGAGCCATTGAGAAATCAAAAGAGTGTGTACAGTCTGTTAATTGCTTTTATCCGATCCTTAGATAACTCACAATGTCGATGTACAGAATGGAAAGCCTGAAGTTTGTGTAGACTGTATGTAGCAGAACCCCCTCGGAACTGTTCGTTATGTATTCCCGTTGTAGTTGCGTAGCTGTTGCGACATTGGCTGCTCGCCGTACCGTCACATGAGCCATCTAAACGGGCGGCTGTGCACCTGCGACGGACCAATGCCTCGCGTTCACCTGGCACCCTGTTCTGGGCAGCGCCGGCGCCGCCACCGCTAAAATTCAAAAGCTGTGGAATACCAGGGTGTGAGTGCCTGCTCGATTTAGATGAGCTCAACATAAACACATCAGGTATTGTCTGCGTCACGTTCTTAGCACACCTAACATCGCACTACTCCCCAGTAGTTTCCTAGACATATCGCCCCCGATTGCCTCGATGGATGCCGAGTGACGGAAATAATTGATAATTTAGTTTTATAGTGCCCAACCTGTAGCTTTCCACTCATGACGAATTTCTAGTTATGTAACCGTTGCTTGACGATTCTTTTGATAAAATCGTTTCGCTCTTGGTAATGTCGGCTAAACGAGAAACTTATATTGCTTTTACGCATCATAATAGCGTGCCTCAAGCTTACAAGACAAAATGATCCCTTTTACCTATACCTCAAATTAAATTATGCTACATAACCCAACTGTGGTTGCTTTTATCAGCGATGCGTACAGAATCTGTCATCATTACTTGATTTCGGTTTTCTTTTTACAAGCACTATGTAACCACTATTAGGTAGTCATTGGCGGTCTATGCCAATGCTTCGTTGCACGAGTAAGTGCTATCGGCATACACCCAGATCCACTGACATCCACGCATAATATACGTAGTGACAATTCTGTATGGTACATACAATAAACAAATCTTTTAGCGGCATATTTCATAACCCAATACATATTTGGTTGCCTGCTCTTTCCATATTCTCGCTCCCTTCCTGCCCTTGTCATAGTGTGACCATAGCTAAAGGCGTTCTGAAGGACCTCGGGCAGTCAATACATCAACTCAACTACCTCAAGACGAATCTGATAACAAGCACAGCTACACACTGATTAAGGCATTTTCTGAGATATCCCACCCTAGACAGGAAGTGTTTAGTTTACCTTTCGACTACATAAAATGGCTTTCCAGTTTTCCACTCATTACATAAATATGTGTAACTTGGTTATGGGCTTATGGCGTTCAACAAAGTCTGCAATTGCACCACTAATGCCAGACACAACACTGGTCTCATACAGTACTGTCAATTTCAAACCTTAATTTTCATTAGCACCAGCTTGAAGTTCCACCCAGCGCTAGTGGTAAAAACTCATTTGCAATTGCTTGTTCCTTATAACCAACAGTTCCCGTGTTATTTGAAATTTTCCTTTTGTTAAATGAGTATGATACTTCTTGAGGCTTTGCTGTCATTTGATTCAATTCTAGGCAATTTTGATAACGTAATCAAAAGGTATATCAGCTATGAAGGTATAGGTATTTCAGCTGTCAGCTATAAACTTGTCCGTATATAATTACACCTTAGAGTGCTGAGCATCAACACATTGCACAAATCTGCCATCGCTGTGATTTTGTACTGCATGCAACCAGTGTGTTTTTATTAGCCACCCATAACATAGAGGATGGTAGCATAGCGCATTCAAAGAATTAGCTTCTCTTAGCAAGAGCAGCCCTATTATCGTCAATCCTTTTCACGGTCTTCAGTGTCATAGACAATGCTTTACAATTTAATAATTTACCATCATGCTACAATTTTGCCACTAATATTACCGATAAGTATTTCATGTCCGTTCAAGCATATTGTTTACTAGTATTAAATATTATGAATAATCTTTAGTTATGCTCTTTTGTTAGGTGTACTGCAACTTCTTCAGAGCTCTATCTTCTTTCTTATCAGTAAATTTCAACCCAGATTCATCCCGAAACAAGCTAACTTAAGTCACAGCCGTTACATCATGCCCAGCGCCTCTACTGAATGTAGCTACTTACGTGGCAATTTCTTCATAGAGCCCAAACCGCAGCATGTATGTAATGTAGCGCCATGTAAACAGTTGACATCATCCTTCACTGTCTATTCGGCGGCGAATTTGAGTGACATCCGGTAACCTTTCAGAGTCGGCCGGTGACGGGGCTCCCGCCGGTGACGACCAGGCGGACTGGTGAGTGAAGACGCATCAGCACGTCACGTGACGCTGCTGAGGGCTGAGGAATTGAGCTTATCATGTGACGTTTCTGTTCAGTGTTCATTTCTTGCTAACCCTTTTCTTAAACCAAACACATTGTTTTAGCTAAATCTTACTGATATCGTAATCATTCAGATTAATGTAAATTGAACTTCAGCTAAACTCAGACACATAAATCTACAGAATAGATATCGTCCCCCAAGCTCCGCACAGTTGTTGCCTCAAAAAAAAAAAAAAAAACGACCTGGCGCCGCACGCCAGCAGTGCCGCTTCGCGCGTACTGCGGCACAGCCTACCTCTCCAGGCATAGCTCAGTGGTGCCATCTATCCGCCGGGCGAGCAGCTACCGTCTACCGCGGGCTGACTGAGATAATCCGGGGAAACGCACCCGGCGTCCTATAAGATACACATCTTAAATTAATTTATTGTAACAACACTAAAACTATGGCCCGTGTGATTGCCTTTACTGTGACTGGGTGAGTGTACTTGAGCCCTTATAGAATGTGGATGGCCCACGGCTGTGCCATGCCTGAAGCTCTTTGTAACAAGTTACAACCAGACATCCATTTTCCGAGTTGAACACTGAACAGTGAACATTCCTAGAGTTGTATGTGCTTGCATACAATCTTTCTAAGCAGTATGTGCGGTCTAGAATAGAGAGATCGCGCTACAGGCATGGCATGGTTCCTCTCAACACGTTCTGACGCTGTGCCAAGAATTGATCGCTACTTCCGCTTCATCATTTTCTCTATTTGTTATCTTCTTTTCAGCATCTATCTTCTCAATCTTGACTCATAAAATGTGCTTTATTTATTCGCCATAGAATGACTATCATTTTTATATGTTTTGTGTTTGGTGATAACATTTGTTTCAATATGCATTTTTGACGTTCTTGCATTTTCGTGTCCACTAAGGTCGGGCATTCCACTCGCCGGCTCTGCTGCCGGCGAGGTCAGGTAAGAATTGTGCTGGTGACGTACCATGCACTAATCTAGTTATGCTAACAATAGACTGGTGCGCCCTGGGACGCTATCCGCGAAGTCCAATAGCGGCTAATACTCGGCAATTAGCAGATGACTGCGATAGTGGTTAGTGTACTCCCCACCCTGCTGGGAACGACTGTTTAACAGATAACATGAATACAACACCATGATATGGTGGTGGATCTGACGATTTTTTTTCGACCAGCGTTTTTGTTACGGCTAAAATAAATGTCAAATTCATCTAATAATTTTCAAGTCAAGATAAGAATTTCACTTCCCCAATGATACCTTGCAAGATAGCTCCACTGCAAATGCGATTTCTTCCTAGAACTATTGTGCAATTGTTGAATGTCAAAGCAGTTTTCTTAAAATACAAGACTTATGTTCCACATCTCATGCATTATGTAAATGCCCCTGATGACATGCATCTTGGAAATGTTAAAAACACCCAGCAGCAGACACCCAGCACCCAGACACCCAGCAGGGCGTGGGTTTAGCGGCATTAAGCAATTAATATTTGGAATCATTAAGGCATTGGAGCATTTGTGTGTGCTGCTAGTTATGAAGATGTCCTCAGATTGCTGTTCAAAACAGAAAACTACCTCCCTCGTCATCCATGTCCATTGAATGGCCTCCTTGGTGCAAGCTAGTTCAGGAACAAGAATAGTGCCGTTATTTAACCCTTGCCAGCCCGAAGGTTTATTCGAGCGCGACCTGCTGCAAGAATATAGGGTTTAGTCCCGCCTAATTAAAGAGCATGACGGTGACAGCAGCCTGCCTTATACTTCATTTTCATTAGCTGCATTGAAGTCCTTTAACGGTCAAACGCTGATCAACTTTGCCTTGTACTAGCATGCGAAATGCGAATACAGAGAAGCTCTCCTTACTGGTAATTTTGAAATGCTAAAGTCATCATCATGCCCTATTCAATGCTGGTCGCATGACAGTGGGTCACATGTTTCTTCAATGAAGCTGGTCATCAAACTAGCTAAATTGCATGCGCTTTCGTGGCGAACAAAATTTGCAAAAACAAAGTTTTAGCTCAATTAAAATTCACTGATAGAGCTAAGTTAAAATAAACTGATGAAGAAGGTTTACTACAATTTTTACCATCCCCAAAAAGAAACCACTGTCATTAAGTATTTTAAATCGAAGGACATGCATTTGTTATTTTACATGGAAGCATTCAAAAGCATAGTGATGCAAGGCTTCAAATTATCTCATGCAAAAATATGTTTGCGACCGGTGTAACAGTCAAATTGATTCATGTACTTGACTTTATTTGCAATTATACCTTACTGAGACGGAGAACATAAATGAATCAATCAGGGCTTGATGCTAACAGTTCCGTCACAAACAATTGTCTGGCCAGGCAGGTGAAATTAGAAGCATTGAACTTATACAGAAAACCCAGCGCATAACATAGGTGCGTAATAGTGCAACGACTGCGCAATTTCACGCATGAAGAACACAAGCAATCTGGAGAGCGGTGCAGGTCAGCTCGAATCAAGAGCAGTGCAAAACATCGCCGAGCGGAGCGGCGAAGGCGCGGACGGCCGGCCGGCTCGCGCCCCACCATCGATTCCATCGGGACAGTCGGCGCCGGCCGGCCGGCGAGCGGCCGCTGCCACTGGCTGCACTGGCTCGGCGACGGCCGTCGGGCGCGCAGCTACGCTCGTGGACCAGCCGCCGGGACCGACGGAGAGGGATAGCAGCGGTCTGCCAGACCGATAGAGAGAGTGGTCGGTATCGGCCTGCTTCCGCCAGTCGCAGACCCACTGAGGACCGGGCCCGGACCCATTGAGGAGGCAGAGCCGAGACGAACCCTCGGTCGGACCGGAGCGCGGACCGGCGTGCTCGTGACGGTGGCCCAGCTGCAGCTGTCGGCTGGGAGCCAGGGCTGCTGACGCCAGCTGTCAGCCAGCTGCTGACGCTGCTGAGTGACCGACTTTGGACTGCACCGGGACCGGATGACCACCAGAATGGCCGCAGCGGCACCCCCGGTCGTCCCGCGCTGGTAAGCCTGTCGGAAGGGAGGCCGCTCCCCACTGGTGAGCAAGGTCGGTCGGGGGTCGCTCCATGCCGGTGCAGTGAGTACCACGCCTGTCGGCAAAAAAAGGTTCCACGCCTGTAAGTACCCTGTAAATACGATGTCTTTTTTTTCGTGAATGACGTGTGAATGAAGGTATGCGAGGGAGAGGCGCTAAGCTAAGTTTTTGTGCCGATCCTAGACTTGTGCCTACCAAAATATCTGTGATAATGAATAATAAAATCGAGAAAACAAACAAAACAACCCATTGGATTGAACCCATGTTGTATCGGCTATTGCTGTTGAGTCTTGTCGGCGGAATCCCTACCCGCTTGTGAGAAGATTCAAGGAGATCGCCGTATATCGCTTATAAATGCCGCCGGGGTAATGGTGCTCCGCTAGTGAGACCTAAAGAGTGGCCCTGTCCCGTTGTTCTTGTACAGCTAATACCGTATGGTAATTATTAATTGTATTAAATGTTGGCTAATGAGTCCCATCGACTCGGTGAAATCGTCGCCACTTGCAGGCCGACTGGTGGAGGGAGTTGGTCTATCTATTGCCGGTGCGACCGTCTGGGGTAGTGGAACCACCCAGTCGAGCAGTCGTCGATAGCCATTCATCATTGGAAGTGGGCGGCATGCTTCAATTCACTTCAGTGGCGGCCCTAATTGCGCTTAATTTAGGCCGACCGGCTTAATTGATGAGTACCTCGTTATGTATGAAGAGGTACTTAGGAACACTGCACATTAAAGGCATTGGATGCCGCTTATGCATTTGATGCTGGCATATTTCTTGAACCGTTCATTTACGTTGTCTTTGAATAGGCACGCATTCACCAAAAATGACTGAGTTATTTTAGAACTCAGGTTTATGATAAAATCCAACAATCAAAGTTTCCTTTCCATTTCTGGCTGTTTGAGGGTCTTTATTTTTTTAAACATTAATTCATATAAGATACGCGCATTCGTTCGTACCATAATTGAAATGCTAACTAGTCTAAATGAAGAAAGATAGTTTTGAATGATACATCGGGAAGTTAAAGTAAAGCCTGCGGTTTTGTGTCAGCTGGATTGTCATGTTTATATTTTTAGCAGTATGCGAGCATTGTAAGTAGTCGTAAATAATCAGTAAGGTACATAAATGACGGGTCGGTTCCGTCTCCAGACTTCATCAGTGAATGCCTTGTTTTCTTATCATTTTTTATTGCATTAAACTGTACGAGAAAGTCAAGATTTCCTCGAATATAGCCATTGCATTAATTGTGTATGTAGTGAGCTCCAAAGTTATTCTAAGAAATGATAATTAAAACAGTGAGTTGACTTTTGTCCTTTATCTTTATATATTTCACTCAACAGATCGGCCGATATAGCCGGCAAAATTTCGTGGAATCACAAATGGTTCTCACTCATTTATTACAAATGAACGACTCTTTACGAGAGCACGTGACATGGGGTCTCGGGTTGCGTCTTATTTCTTCAGTTGAACACTAAAACCATTTTTACGGACACTCGCCTAATCAAAGTTCTTTTATGACATCATCAAACGAATGATGCATGCGTGGCTGACAGAGTTTACCAATGACATCTCCTTTCTTGTTGCTATCGACGTGATGTCTGTGTTAGCGGCTGATTGCTGCGCCCTGTAAAACAATTTCACAACTTGAGACCGAAACACGATGTATGCGACCTTTGCTTATAGCTATATAGTTCAGGCACGCGGTTCCATTTTCGAGTGATGTGGGCTGCATACACGAAACGATCGCGTAATCGTAGACAATTAGCGAATTAATAGCGACATTAACTGAATAGCCGAGGGAATTCTCGTAATTCATGGAAACCATACATGCATAGGTAGAATCGCAAATCATGATGTAATACCTGGCCAAGCTTGTTAAACTCGTAAAGTCTAAAATCGCCACATCAAAAGACAGGTAACATTCCTACAGATAAAAAGCAAACAAAAGAAGGCAAACTATTCGAAAGCCTGTTCAGGTTTCCGTCTGTGTGCGTCTTTTGTCTACGTCATGTGACGTCTGTCCTTTGAAAAAGCATTTGATATAAAATACACCTTCATAAACCGAGTGATCCAACAGTAAACTAATCATGGTCAAACGGCCCCCAAATGTTCCCGTGTCTGATCAGTCTCTCGGTAAAGGGGGTGGATGCTAGTTATTCGTATAACCGGCTATGTAAGTACTACAGTTAACCCTGAATCAATCTATTTTACAATGAACAGTGAACTCCGAATGCCAAGCCGAATTAAGCCCGATCCTCAGCCGAATTTGGCCGGCCGTTTGTTGCTAGCACTCGACAAACAGCTGAGCTGATCGACCCGGCTCAGTCGATGCACAGTATCGAAACCGGCAAACACCCGCTGCCAGCTGCCCAGAGCTTGGTGCCTGCCGTCCAACGTTCACAACTCGCCGACCAGTGTCCACTGTCCACTCTCCACCGTCCACCGTCCACCGTCCACCGTCCATCGCCCGCTGCCAGCTGCCCAGAGCCTGCCGTCCACTGTCCACTCTCCACCGCTCACTGCCGCCGTCACCTCACATTGCCCCAAAAGACGGTAAATAACTTTTGAAAATACCTGTCTCCAATTTTAGTGTTTTCTGGACCAAAATTTTGCCAGGAATCCGATGGTTTGGTCCCCGAGATCCGAAAAATTTCCATTTTGGAGATAGGGTAGACAGGTGAAACTTGGTATACCTAATCTTTTATTCAAACTGGATCTTTCGACCTCAACTGCGTTTTCAGGTCAGGTCAGGTTACTGACGTATGACGTCATAAATAAACCTCTGCGAGGTCCTCAGATGTTGCAACTTTGCAACGCCCTCAGTGCCAGAGGAACTTTCACAGGAAGATGAAAGTTACAGGACGTAGTATCCTTCTGAGGTCTCACAACTTGCTTATCTCGGATTTAACCTAAATGTCACAAGATGTCAGGTCGGTCACTGACCTCACCATTATAAGTCAATGGGGGAAATATTGAAACTGTTATTTTGGCGCCGGAAATGATCTAAAACTATCCCAAGCACATGAAATTGTGGTTTCATGATCGGACCTTACAAAGAGTGCATGAAACCACGATTTCATGTGCTTGGGACAGTTTTTAGACAATTTCCGGCGCCAAAATAACAGTTTTCATATTTCCCTCCATTGACTTATTATGGTGAGGTCACGTGACCGAACTGACCTCATGTGACATTTGGGAAAAATCTTAGATATACAATTTGTGAGACCTCTAAAGGATACTACGTCCTGTACGTTTCATCTTCCTGTGAAAGTTCCTCTGGCACTGAGGGCGTTGCAAAGTTGCAACTTCTGAGGACCGTGCAGAGGTTCATTTATGACGTCATAGGTCAGTGACCTGACCTGACCTGAAAACGCAGTTGGTGTCAAAAGATCCAGCTTGAATAAAATATTAGGTATGCTGTTTTCCCTCAGCGTGTTTTGAGCTATCGCGAAAAACCCCTATGAGGCGGCATCCGCCCCACCCCTTCTCGGCCGACGAGGGTTAATGTACTAATTCATGTACATGTATGAGCAGATATAGTATCATCTCAGCTAAAATATATCACTAATTCATGTTCGATACATTCTAGTGTTAGTATAAATATTCACTCATTATATTTTCAATTTATTTGACTTTTGTGCATGACGAATATTTACTTTTCAAAAAATAGGTGCTATCTCCAAAATGGAAATTTTTCAGATTTCAGGGACCACACCATCGGATTCCTCGCAAAATTTTGGTTCAGAAAACACTAAAATTGGAGATAGGTATTTTCAAAAGTTATTTACCGTCTGTTGGAGCAATGTGACCTGCGACCAAAAGAACGCTTGCTCACTCTTTCGTACGCGAGTATCATCTCACACGCAGTCCTTGTCTGCAACATCTGTACAGGTCTAGTCTGCGAATCTCATGCACAGCTCAGGTACACTACGTGGGGCTCGTGTCGTGGGGGTCTCGTGCAGGAGTATCATTCAGACCCTGTCGGACCGCATTGAGGCAGGTGGTGCAGGGCTGCTGGTGAACGCGAACGGAAACATTCCGCCGGCCTAATCACTAGGCCCGATAGCAGCCCGGGAGCGCTGAATGTTTTATCAGGCCGGGTTGTAACTACCGCCGGCTGGGCAGTGGTTAGCAGGGAGGCAGGCGGGAGAGAAAACGGTGGGGTTAGAGGGTGATGGACAGCAGGCGTCTTGGGGTTGGGAGTTATATTGGATGGAATGATCGCGGGACTGGACCCTGGAGGCCAGTACGATGGGAACGGATCGCGTAGTGAAGCTTAGGAGCTGATTGGTTTAGAGCGTTAGACTTTCACACGGCCAGAGTACACACGGGGTCGCATAGACACCGTGTGCATTTTGCGAAACAAGATGGAGGCTGGAAAGCATTCCACTCATAAACAGCTACACAGGTCTCTGCTCAATTTAACAAAAAAAAGCCTTTCATAAAGCATACCTACTTTTGATGCATTCCATAAAACAGGATATTATGTGAATATGTAATTTATCCCAAAGTCTTTAAGTAAACGTATGTACATAATAAATACCTAAGTAAATGTACCTAAGGCCCTAAAATTCATTTCTTCATCACTCTATTTTTTATCATTCCCTCCTAGTTTACTATTTGTGCTAACTAGTCCTCAACGGCCTGAGCCCTGAAGACGGGTTCATCTTTCAACAAAACAGTAGCGCATCAATTGGACAACTAGGCCGTTTGGAGCTGCCTCTGTACGCTCATGTTCCTGAACGGATGTCATCACACGTCTCTGCACGTGCTATCATTCTTCCATGATTGCACTCCTTTCCTTCCGCTGTTTCGTATCCCTTTCAGCATCCCTGTTTTGCTACTTTTCTCTCTCTCCCTCTTTCCATCTCCCTCCTCTCCCCGATAGTGACATTTCCCCTGTCCCCGTGTTCCAGCATCGTCGTGGACCAGGTCGAGACAGCAGACGAGCCAGCCGTCCCCGTGGACGAAGACGCCAGGAGTGAGGCCAGTGAGGGCAGCCGTGCCAAACTCTCTCAGATGAAGGTGAGGCTGTCGTCTGTACTCAAACTAAGGACTGAATCAGAAAGGAAGGCTGCAGTCTTGCTTGTGTGGTTTCCCGCTGTCTGTATTCTGTACATTGACGTGCATTCTGCTTGTGGCAGCCGCAGTTGTATCGCTGACGATCTGCTGAGGACGGTTCATTCGGACAGACAATGACCGGTCTGGGCGCCGTTGTGACTGTACCTTGTCGGAGCAGCTGGAGGACCGGCTGGCTGCGAGTCTGACCCAGCGCTGACCTCGCGCTGACCTCCTGCTGACCCCGGGGCGCCCCCCGTTGACCTTGACCCCGCAGAGCGAGGCGGCGCAGCGCATTGATGACCTCGAGCGGCTGATCGGAGAACACCAGGAGATTGTTGAGGAGTTGAAGCGAACAGAGAGCAGTCAGGTAGAGACCGGAGCGCGCGCGGACGGATTTGGTGTCGCACTCCCCCCCCCCTCCCGCTCTTCGGCAGCTGTGACACGGCGTTGCACTAGTGCTGAGTGTAGTCACTAGTCGCCACGTAGAGAGGCACACACACACTGTCTCACCGAAATGTCATCGCGAACGTGTGTGCTGCAAACGTTGGTGCTGGGATTGCATGTTTTTATGGCAAACGATCTGTGTTTTTTGCCTAGTTGTTTGTCTTGACATAATCACCCTCCAAATCATCATAACTGGCACCCTGGGGCCTGGAGTATGAAGTGACTCGATGAAAGAACTTTGACTTGTTGCAGAATGCAGCATTGCTGACGACATCTGACGATAAATCCAATGGAAGAAAGAATATAATTGTATATCATGCATTGTACAAACTGAAATAAGTGGCGTAGCATAGATGCGTCATTCTAAGTTTGAAATATGTGCCACTGAAAAGATATGTTCCGTCTAAATTCGCTTCCTCGAGGGCAGAACAAAATTTGCCCCGCTTGTATCGTTTATTTTCATGTTCAAAGTAGTGGAATTCTCGTTTGAGTGTCTAGTTAACCCGCGCCCCAGTGGCGGTCTCAGCCAACTTCGCCCTAGTGGGGGGGGGGGGGAATATGTTACCACCCCCTCTAACTAAAAAACTAAGAGGGCTAAAGAGACGCGGTAAAAAGCAGTAAATAACTCTCAATGCGTACGTTTGAAAGTATTTAGGTCATTTTCATCTTAGAGTAATATTGAGGTCACTGGAGGTCATCAAAGGTCAAAATTTGCCAAATGTCATTATATTTCTCAGAAAACATGCATTTATCTCAGGAACTATGATAGCTAGAAAAACGCATGGAAAAGCAATCGATAGCTTTTGAACTCTTCTTTTGATAAGGTCATCATCAAAATTGACCTCAGGTCTAGCCTCCAGAGGGCAAAAACTAAAAAATAGCTGTTTTTACGAAATGTGTTTTTCGACAATAACTTTTGACTAAAAAAAAAGCCACAAAAAGGTCATATATCATTCGATGCGTCTCAACAAGACAAACACAATGAGGCCATCCCCAGCGTCCTATCTCTTTCCAATCGAGATTTATTGGCAAAAAATCTATTTGTAGCCTCAAATGACCTCGGATGACCTTTCTAGAGGCTATCAGCAAAAAACACACCTTGGTCGTCACGGGTGGTCCAAATCATTGTGATTCTGAAATATTTGGACTGTTCCTATGCGTACACACGGATCTAGAGGCATTTTCATTTTTCTACATTGCCTTATAATGTCACGCCACTGACCTGACCTTAGGTCACGGATATAAAAAATCCTAGACATACAAATTGTAGGCGTTCATAACCTCATGCAATCCACCAAGTTTGAAACCTTTCTGACAGACACTGCAGGCTGGAAAAGATTGCAAACTTTTTTTTAGGCTTGGTCAGTTAACTTGACCTGGTGACCTGACCTGACATGACCTGGGGTCAAAATTTCACACATTGTCCAAAATTGATGTACAAAAAGCTACCCCAAGCGACGCGGCGCTACGCGCCGCGGTTTTTTATTTACACGCAACAAACGCGACAGGGTGGTAACATATGCCCCCCACTGGGGCGAAGGTTAAGTGAAAAGGATGAAATGTCGATGCAGATCCTATATGATGGTGGCATTTCTATGATCATTTTAGCATCTTCATGTTTATGTTACCTGTGAGAACCTGATCCTTTCGATTTTTTTTCCGGGAGAGAAATTTGGCCTCGTTTGCATTTGCGATGCGTATGGGATTCATTTTCCAATGAAATCTCCAACTGAATCAGTCAATATTAAATAAGACGGATGACATGACATTCCGATGGTGTACAATAAAATAGAGAAAATGGTACCTTATTTATCATTACTATAAACTGTCATGAAGGTTATGTCCATTAGCCGATATCCTCCATTTCCTCATATGAAACATTGTTAAATGAAGCAATAAATGGTTTGATTGGCGAGAGCAATATTAGCGCTACTGGGGGTAACCGCAGGTTGTTTGAAAAGACAAACACTAAAATAGAGAAAATGGTACCTTATTTATCATTACTATAAACTGTCATGAAGGTTATGTCCATTAGCCGATATCCTCCATTTCCTCATATGAAACATTGTTAAATGAAGCAATAAATGGTTTGATTGGCGAGAGCAATATAAGCGCTACTGGGGGTAACCGCAGGTTGTTTGAAAAGACAAACACTATTCGTTAGAACTGTGTTTTTCTATTGAAAAACAACCGGAGCGTAGCGCTACTGGGGGTAACCGCAGGTTGTTTGAAAAGACAAACACTACTACTGGGGGTAACCGCAGGTTGTTTGAAAAGACAAACACTATTCGTTAGAATTGTGTTTTTCTATTGAAAAACAACCGGAGCGTAGCGCTACTGGGGGTAACCGCAGGTTGTTTGAAAAGACAAACACTATTCGTTAGAATTGTGTTTTTCTATTGAAAAACAACCGGAGCGGTCGTTCTCCGGGCTATGTTTTGCAAGTCTGGCAGCGAATTGGGGCAACTTGACCGGGGCCTAAACGAATCGCTCAATCTTGGTAAAAAGTTCAGTGTATGGGCTCCCGGAGGCGATCTAACTGATGGCACCGGTCGCTACTCGCTAAAAAGTCTTTTGCGCGTGGCACGTGCGATTCCATTTTCCCCATGTTAAGTCAATGGGGTTTTGGACACTTTTTGCGCGATCGCCAATAGCGGAAAAACGAGCCAAGAAGGAGGTGGTTTTCTTCCCAGCATTTTATGGCAAACACGTTCAGGTACACGCCCGTGTGCGCCGTATACCCTTCAGAATCTCGTGGCACGTGGCACGTGCGATTCCATTTTCCCCATGTTAAGTCAACGGGAGTTCGGACACTTTTTGCGCGATCGCGAATGGCGGGAAAACGAGCCAAGGAAGAGGTGGTTTTCTTCTCAGCATTTTATGGCAAACACGTTCCGGTACACGCCAGTGTGCGCCGTATACCCGCCAGAATCTCGGAACACCTCTATGCACAAGGTCAAAGTTGGAATTTTGCTGTGTCCCATGTTAAGTCAATGGACGGCGATGCCGAGACTTTGCAGAGACATTTTCATTCGTTCATTGTACAAAATTTTAGAGATAGAATTTGCCCAAACTCTTATAGCTTGTACAGGAAAGAGCGTAGTACATGCTGGTATGCTTCGTTAGGCTGGCAGAAATCGTTTTTTCTAATAAAGTTCGTTGGAAAATGAAAATTTTTTACATGGAAAGTCAATGGGAGCGTCTTTATTCCTCTATAACTTTTATCTTTAGTAAGACATATAAATGAAAAGTTGATATAATATACAACTTCTGATGCTCTTTCCAACAATGTATAGAACGTCACTGCACGATGTGCCGTTTTTAAGAAAAGCTGTAAAAAATCAGGGCTCGACTGTGACTTGAACCCAACCACATTAGACTATACGAACAGGTGACGGCGATACCTCCCGTGTGCGGATGCGACACTGATTATTGCTAAATATTAGCAGTCGGCCGTTGTGGGGGCGCCTTTGCAAAGGTTATATCTCCACAACCGCTTGACCGCTTCACTCGCTGTCTTTTGTGTGGGATAGCTTCTTCCTTTCTTACACGTAGTGTGCTGTTCTCGATGCATATGGGTGACCCCCTAATGCACGTGCCACGAGCAAAACGAAGAAGTGTCAGTTCGGTAGCAAGTGTAATAACTCTGTAGTTATTTTGCCGATTGCGCTGATCCTTGGCATGGATGTAGGCACCCGCCGCGCAATGCATTTCCATGTGTCACGGTTGGGGTGCCGCTGCACGTGCGCACGGGCAGGGTGACGCTTCCAGATCTCGAGAACGGCTGGGGCGATTGTGATCAAACTTGGCACACCGCTAGAGGCTGGTAAGCAAGGTGCCGTGCACAAGTCAGATGGGACCCGTTATGCACGTGCGCACGTGCAGGCTGACGCTTCCAGATCTCAAGAACGGCTGGGCCGACTGTGCTCAAATTTGGCATACCGCTAGAGACTGGTTAGTAGGGTGCCGTGCACAAGTCAGTTAGTATGTATTTTCATGTGCCACGGTTGGGGTGCAGCTGCACGAGCGCACGTGTAGGGGTCGCTTCCAGATCTTGAAATTGACGGGGCCGATCGAGCTCCAATTTGGTACACCGCTAGAAACCGGCGAATAGAGTGCCGTGCACAAGTCAATTGGGGCCCAGGCTGCACGTGCGCACGTGCAGGGTGTCGCTTCCAGATCTCGAAAACGGCCGGGTCGATTGCACTCAAATTTGGCACACCGCTATAGACCGACGAATAGGGTGCCGTGCACGTCAGTCCGTAGCACACCGACTCCGGTCTGCACGTGCAAGGCTCATCCTCTCGTTTGGTGGCGGGCGTTTTTGCTGCGTTTACAAAGGTGCTTGCTCAAACAACCTGCGGTCCCGCGATGCGGAGCCCGGCATCGCAGATGCCGGTAACCGCAGGTTGTTTGAAAAGACAAACACTATTCGTTAGAATTGTGTTTTTCTATTGAAAAACAACCGGAGCGGTCGTTCTCCGGGCTATGTTTTGCAAGTCTGGCAGCGAATTGGGGCAACTTGACCGGGGCCTAAACGAATCGCTCAATCTTGGTAAAAAGTTCAGTGTATGGGCTCCCGGAGGCGATCTAACTGATGGCACCGGTCGCTACTCGCTAAAAAGTCTTTTGCGCGTGGCACGTGCGATTCCATTTTCCCCATGTTAAGTCAATGGGGTTTTGGACACTTTTTGCGCGATCGCCAATAGCGGAAAAACGAGCCAAGAAGGAGGCGGTTTTCTTCCCAGCATTTTATGGCAAACACGTTCAGGTACACGCCCGTGTGCGCCGTATACCCTTCAGAATCTCGTGGCACGTGGCACGTGCGATTCCATTTTCCCCATGTTAAGTCAACGGGAGTTCGGACACTTTTTGCGCGATCGCGAATGGCGGGAAAACGAGCCAAGGAAGAGGTGGTTTTCT